CTCCCCCTAGACTATCGCAGATTTTCACGTTCCATCCTTCATGATCTGGAAGTAAACAGTCCGAGCCCCCTTTAGACTCTGCCGATTTCCCACTTCCCCCTCGAGTCACGCCTCGAGCGAATTGGTTTTCCCATCTTAGGGGAGGAAAGCAGCCACCACGGATCGAATTCTCCATCGCCCCGACATCTCTCATCTGACGGAACCTCATCTACGAAATCTATCCCCTTTACGATCCTCTCGCCCATCATGCGGGAGGTCAACTTCAGTATCCCAAATGTCAACAAGGCTTCGGTGAACATCACAACTACCCTTTACGACCGGCGTGCCCTCGATTGCACGTCAACCCTACCCCTCATAAATTCTCTCAACCATCTTGCTTATCTGACCACTTCCTCCGCCCGAATTCGCGATATCCTCACCGTCGATGGCGGCATTGAACGGTTGGTCTGCATCCTCAAAGAGGGTCGCAGTAGAGATTTGATGGAAATGTGGAAGTGGAGCCTCGCCTTCCAGTGTGTGGTCAACATCGGGGTGCGGGGCTCAGAGAGCGTGAGGACGAGGGTAGTCGAAGCGGACATGGTGCCGGTGATTGCGACCATTCTTGACAATTATATCAAGGTGGTGGATAAGGCGCGGGCACGAGCGGATAGCGAAAACCAAAGACACTCGTCACGGCATCATCCCAAGGCGGCTCCTGCCGCGGGCGATGTGACTGGGCGCCCGTCCTTCCCAGACCAGTCATCCAACAGTGAGCAACGCACCTCTCGCCGCCAGGCACCTCCTCCGTCGATTGAAATCCCTGCATTCCTCCACCAAAACACAAATGCGCCCGACGCAAACGCCATGGACGTCACATCGTCACCTCGTGCCCCCATGACGTCGCCCCCAGAGAGGAGCACGTTTGGACACGAGGCCCACATCCCCAGATCGCACGATGGTCGCCATTTGCACACTGGCCATCGCCACAGGGCGATGCAGCCCCTGGCCACCACCTTACCACCCATGGATACCGCTGATGGCTTCGGTCTGCGTCCCGTGCGGGACACGGAAAGACTCCCTAGCATGCTGCCCACCTTGCACAATGGGATTACATCGCAGCCTGATTCCCCAACTACCCCCAGCGGCCCTGTGCAGCCTCGCAGTCATGCCCAGACGACTGTCGCCAGACAGCGTCCCACGTTGAGGCAGCAGCAGTCGGCGTCGGGAGACTCTGACGATGGGAATGGAGAAGGCTCCACTCTGGGCGACAACACTGGCCCAGCAGAGACATCGGAGCCCATTGTTGGCCTGCAGAACCAAATGGAGATTGACGAAGTGAGCGACCGGCAAACTATGATAGACGGCGTTTCCAATTCCCATGATCTGACCGTGACGGATCCGTCTGAAGGCCAAGAAGCCGAGACGTTCAACATCAGTCATCGTTCCACGGTAGATGGCAGCATCATCAACAATGACACCACGCAGACCAATACCGCTCTGGGGCTGTCTCCGACACAGGCCGCCAATAACGCCAACTCTCCCGCTCTCGTCCCGAGTCCATACTCTCTGTACTTCCGCGACCGGTCCGCAGTCCCCCAGAATGTCCTGACGACAATGCCCCGTGACGAAGATGTCTTGATGTCTCTCCAACTCTTGGCCTACGTCTCGAAGTATTGCAACCTTCGGTCGTATTTCCAACACTCTCACCTCGTGCCGAATCTCAAGGTCGACCGTGAACTTCAGATGCTGGAGGAAGGAGCGTCGCCGATCGAACCGCCAGAGGAAGAGGAGGAGTACATGCTTCCTGACGATGTCAACATCTTCCCCTTGGTGGAAAAGTTCACAGTGCGTCATCACTCCAAAGACATGCAGTACTGGGCTTGTGTCGTCATGAGGAATCTCTGCCGCAAGGACGAGTCGAGAGGTGGCATTCGGCAATGCGCATACTACAAGTGCGGAAAATGGGAAGAATTTCAGCGACAATTTGCCAAGTGTCGCCGTTGCCGCCGCACCAAGTACTGCAGCAAAGATTGCCAGAAGGCCGCGTGGGTGTATCATCGTCATTGGTGCCACACCACGCCATGATATGAACGGATGAACTTTGTCTAATATATCTAATGCATACCTGGCTTGCATAGCGTCATACCTGCCATATTTTCTTTTTGTTTTCGAGATTCCACATCTACCCGTGCATGGCATTTCAGAACCTGGCGGCGTTTCTCTTCATCTCAAGATACCTTTTATGTGTTGTCTATTCCTGCAAATCCCATATCTCAAACTTTGTTATTACACCCACTGTTCCATTAACGTTGGGCATGATGCCTGTTTACTGCTCATATGGATAACCTCTAGCGGTCATGAATCTGAACACGGTGTTTCTCCAAACACTGGACCTTTCTGCCATTCATATTCCTGTTACTCCATTTCCCCTCTGCGTTTCCCGTTGGTTATCTTGAAACAATCCATACTTCATCTCGACGCCGGACGATTTTCCTTTTGTTAGTAGCTGTTTAGCATATTCCTTGGCCCAAACGGTCTTGTTGGGAGCATCTTCTTTTGGCCTTTTGTGTTATTGTCGATATTTCTTCATTGGCGAACCATTGGTCTTGGCTTCTAAATACCACAGTGAATGTTCTGCCTGAAGGCAGTTTGATCTACTCTATTCATTGCGCTCAGTGCATCCATGTGCATAATATGTTTTGATTAATCTCCTTTTATGAATTGAATAGTCTCATGACTTGGTTATAGTTCAGTTTTGGACCGTTCTTTTACTGCTTGGTGTTGGATAGCAAGGTATATAACACCAAGAGTATTAGCGTACAGTTCTGGTCTCGGAGCCACATTCCAGCTATCATTTATCGAACTTGTACGTTGCAGCCAAGCGTGACTCTAAGTGTTCTTGAGCCGTCAGTGTTCGTTTGCCTGGCTCCAGACTCCCAGCTCCGCCGCCGAAGCCAACTTTCTCGTCCTGGACACCACTCTCTTTGCACTTCTGCCGATAGGCGGTTACTATGTCACTGGGGACAGGGACCAGTTCTGTCTTATCCAGGGGGTGGCAAAAGAAGACAATACTGTAACGATCCTGCGGGTTGGGACTCTGTTGCTCAGATAGCGGGAAAACGACGCGGTGGACGGTTGATTTCAGTAGTCCATCTGTCCAGTAACTGAGCAAGTCGCCGATATTGACTAGGATAGGAGGGAAAGGGAAGGCGGCACCCCGGTCTTCCTCAGCAGTCTGCCTCGGTTGCACTGGGACGGGTGCCCAGGTTCCTTCTGGTGTCAGGATCTCCAAGCCTGGCTGGCCGGGACGCTGAAAGAGTAAGGTGACGCTGCCATAGTCGGAATGGGCACCTGCACGAACGTCGGTGCCGTGCTTGTAGGACGAGGTTGCTGGGGAAGCGACTGAAGGGTAATAGAGGTAACGCAGAATACAGCCTGTCGAGCCTTGACTGGGGTCGTGCCGAGCTGTGAAGAAGTCCTCAGATATTTCGAGTCCCAGTGCTAGCAGCTTGAGGATCCTGTCGCAGGTTTTGTTGCAGAGGCCTGCAAAGTGAGCTATTTCCGGTTCATGTGAAGTCAATGATCGCGGCAGTGGGTGTTGGGCCTTTCCGTCTTTGAACTCCCCAAAGTTGAATGCCCTGGGTATGATCTTAGTTTGATTGTGAGAAATATCATGGGGGAAGGTCTGACTTACTCTTTGAAGTCGCCCGTCTATGAGCACATATCGTAAGTACAGTCATCAGTCATCAGTCATAATCATGGCTAGAAACAAAAGTCATGGATAGTTACCCGTTGATGCTCTGGATCCAGTGTCTCGACATGCATACCGGACCAGCCGTAGTTCTAGAGCTGTCAGTCACTTGATACATCCACTCATATAGAGGGTATTTATATTCACATTGGGCTGGATCTGACAAGCCGCCTTTTCCTCCACGGGGGACTTAAAGAACTTCCTCGACTGTCATCGCTGGGTCAGTTACGCCGATGCATATCCACGCGGCTCTCGATGGGAGTCCGTGGTTGCGAAGAATGTGGTCGTACAAGATCAAAGGCCTTCTCGACATCACTGGCACTGAAGTCAGTTCCTTTGCTGCTCACGTAGAGGAAACCATATTTCGCGGCTGCGTCCAGCATCGCCTTCCCCACGGCGGGGTCGTTCGGATTCGAGATGTCCAAGATCGGGAGTTGAATGAGAGACCCCACGGGTATGTTTTCGTCTGCCATGATGGCTTTTTGGTTATACCACGAGTGTGATTAACCGATCTGAACTCTGCGATTCTAACAGAAGAGAGAGAAGGAAAGAGGGGGATTACCGGAATATAATGATAATTTAGAGACGGGGCTACGGTTATCTCTTATCAGACAGAACTCGACGGTTGTCGGATCGGAGCGATGCGACAGGTCACAGGTCCCTTTAGAATAAAGAATAGGCAATGAGCTACCGGTCTTCTGCCAGGAAGTTACCCCGGACTGATCTAATGACTGAGGGTCACTGTGTAAGGAGTTTTAGTGTTGTGTGTATACTAGGAAAAGATCTCTATATCTTACACAGCGGCGGTATACATTCGGCCTTGTCTGATCAACTGTTTCATACGGGGAAATACATCAAAACCCCTTGTAGGTAAAATAGATAAGCCATGAAGCCAAATTGCAAAAAGAGAGAATAGTCCACCGTGCAAAGTCTGGCTCAATTGGCTGGATATGAGGCAGTGAAGGACTTGATATTCGACAGTTGGCTGACCGGAAGCACCGCCTTACCAGCCAATGGAAGCAAATGCTCCTCTGGATTGATCGCCCAAAAACAACTTCAACACCACCAACTGGACTCCTGCCACCCCTCCGTGTTTCCTCTCCCTTCTCCTTCCCCTCCTTTACATCCCAATCCCCCCTCCCTATACTCCTCTTCGTGGGCTCTTTTCCCTCCTCCACTTCTCCTCTCCTCTCCGGTCGCCCTCACCGGGCTCTCCATGCCTGGTATCCGCTAAGGTTCCTTGGTCCCTGACACAGCTCCAGCTCCAATTATGCCGAGTAAGCTCCTGCTGCAGCTCCCTCTGCCCTAACTAAGATGACAGCCAACTGACTGATGATATCTTTCTCTCAAAAGTCCGCCCATTGGATGAATGGGCCGCTGCCCGCACGCAGTCTCTCCCACTCTCCGCTCTCAAAGGTGCCGTCGTCGGTATCGATGCGTCGCATTACATCAAACAGCACCTCCTCCACCCTTCCACCCGTGAGCCTCTCCTGGTCGCTCTTGGCGGATTCCCGTTCGCCCTGAGGAATAATATCGAACGAGAGCTGCAGCTCTTCAAGGACGCCGGCGTAACATGTGTTTTTGTTTTCGACGGTCTCGACTTTGGCACTAAGAACCAGAGACCCCACGTATCGCCGGAGTCGGTGCGGGCATTTGAGCAAGCTTGGGACCTCTATGACCAACAACAGGCCGATCAAGTGGTGGATGCATTTAGTGGTGCTGGTAAGGATTCCCTGGACCCTTGAATCGACGAGCGACTCGCTCCGCGCCGCCGAACCTGCACTGACAATGTCTGGGCATTCTAGGCACTCCTCGACCAGAATCCCTCTATCGGTTCTTGCATCGTATTCTTCGTAATAATGGTATAGATTATATTGTGGCTCCTTATAGTGCTGCGGCTCAGGTGAGATGGCGGCCCCAGAGGATTTGCTTGCTATATCCGTTTTCTAAGCGCTTTCTGACAGCTAACTATTACATAGCTTGCCTTCCTCTCAAAAGGCCCCAATCCCCTGGTGGACGCAGTGTGCGGGCCATCGGAAGTCTTGATGTTCGACGTGGATAAGTTAATTACCCGGATTGACGCCGACCTAGCGCAGTTTTTCTGGATAACCAAACAGACATGCCAGGAGGAATTGGGTAGACTGTCCAATGAGCAGTTCCTGGACTTCTGTCTCCTCCTGGGATCTTTATTCCTACCGACATTCCCCATATTCGAGAACCCCGCCTTTCCTGGAAAGGGCGCTACCATTCGGGATGCTCTACCGATGTTCAACTCTGCTGGACGGAGCGCCCTCTCGCTGTGCGCCCAGTTCGAGGAGGATCGCCGTATGCAGGAGCTTCAATACACAGACCGTTACAAGCGTGCATTCATGACAGTGAAGCACCATGTGTTTATAGACGCGGAAGGACGGGTGGGCCCGATGGACCCAGAGAACACCTCTTCCGACATGCACGAGCTGATCGGCCAGCGTCTTCCTGAAGAACTCTACTTTTATCTCTCGAAAGGCGTCTTGGGCGCTGATGTGCCCAACTACCTGACGTCTGGCGAGGTCGTGGTATCTCGTCCTTTGGGCGTGGAAGATACAGAGATCTATCGCCAGGTTGCCGGGACCACCCTTACTCCAATTAGAACCCAAGCCATATGCTTGCTTTCTAACTCCCTCCATAGATTCTACCAGACCAAGGTGATCCAAGTGCGCACTTGGTATGACGAGAAGTCCGATACATCAGTCAATCTCAAGTCTTTGCCTTCGGTTAAAGACACTATTCAGTCTTGGAAGATCCGTATTGATCAGCTACCGGAGGGGTTGAAGAAACTGCAGGTTAGTCCGCTGATGACCGTCGATCTCACAGCGCTCCGCTAACCGGAAATCAGCGGTTGAATGGCCCGTTCAAGTTTGCCGTCCAAAGCTTGAAGGATCCGGAGTTTGTGTCCAAGTCTCTGTCTGCTAGGGAGTCCCAGGTATGTCCCGTTTTGTCCGGAGTTGTGCAAACATGGAAATCTGACTAGTACCAGCCACTATCGTCCCAAGAAGAGATCCTTGCCAACGTTTTCTGGAGATTCTTACAACTGCGTGGGTATATCGACGAGAAACACCAGCTCACTTCCTGGGGCCTTTGTCTGGAGCAAGCCCTATCGGCACTTGACCCAGTTGATAACCTTGAGGAGGCTACCTTCCTTGCCATTGAGATGGTACGCTTTGGTGTCCTCAATGCGAAGCAATGGTTTTCCCACGTATCAGGAGGCCCGATGAGAGGTTCTGGTAAGCCAATTGAGTCCACCTTCTATGCCAGCAAAACCAACTGATATATCTTTTAAGATGAGGACAAAAACTTCAACATTCTCGTCTCTCGCGTGGCATGTATCGCTAAGCTACAGCATAAGAGCATTGGCTACTCTGGACCTCTGAGCCGGCAACTACTCTGCTACCGATCGTTGGTTTCGGAAGTCCGCGTCACATTAAGGAATCTGATTGAAGTCGTTTTGACTGGCCTTCTACTCAGCGGAGATGCGAACAGGGATCGGGACGACTGGACCAGTTTAAGTGTCAAGTAAGCGGAACCTTGCTCTAGCCAAAAGATGGCTGGCCTAACGTGTTGTAGGTTGCCCTTTATCGACGACAATGACTGCGGTCTGGGTATCGCCGTCCGCACATACCTTGATGACTTGCCCCTGCAAGCCGACCCGACATCGCCAGAGGCACGGGCTGAAGTGAAGTCGAAGGGTAAGGAATGGTTCCAACACAGCGATAGCTTTACAGGTAATTTGGATTTGGCTTTCAAGCTTTGGGATGCGGTGAGTATATCTTATGCCTTGGACTGCCGGCGTGAACTCGGTACTGATTTCACCCTGCAGGTCTACAAAGGAACACAGCACGCAGGAAAAGAATTCAAGGACGGTAAACTATTTGGGGACGCGAACAGCTGGTTAACCGCGAGGAGATGATAAGGTTTACTGAGAGCCAGAGGGACAGAAGAATATGAACTACCGTAATTCAATATTTCTGAAAAGCTACACGATCCTACAAATCCGGGCCCTATCAGTGGTGGTGATATGGAATCGCCACCCACCACTTGATGGATGGCTTTACACTATCTATCAAAGGAACCATGTATTAGTAGGAAGGATGATGGCGGAATATACAATGCCTCTCATACTCAACGATGATTTAGTAGATATACTGCATTATTATTATTTTTATCAAATATGTCCTGTACACAATGAATCGGTCATTTGTTCGGTTGATACCAAGTGTCCTCTTCCGACCCGCTTTTGTCGATCCGCCGCGGAGCTCTTTGGCTCTTTAGCTCTCCACGCCGATACTCCATTTATCAGCCAACTTTCATTGCTCCGGAAACCGATCATTTGCAGTCAAGGCGCAATTGTTTCAACCTCAGTTTCCGACCGATAAAGCTTGTCTTTACGTCTTATCTTCCTAATCATTACCATGACTCGTCTGAGCTACCTGCTCGTGAGCTGCCTCAGCGTCGTGAGCGCTGCTTCCGCAGTCGTCGACCTGGTTCCCAAGAACTTCGACAATGTCGTCCTCAAGTCCGGCAAGCCCGCCCTCGTTGAATTTTTCGCCCCCTGGTGCGGTCATTGCAAGAACCTCGCGCCTGTGTACGAGGAGCTCGGACAAGCTTTCGCCCACGCCGAAGACAAAGTTACCATCGGCAAGGTGGATGCTGACGAGCACCGCGATCTCGGAAAGAAGTTCGGTATTCAGGGATTCCCGACTCTCAAATGGTTCGATGGCAAGAGTGACAAGCCCGTAGACTACAATGGTGGTCGGGATCTGGAGAGTTTGTCTAACTTCGTGGCGGAGAAGACGGGCGTCAAGCCTCGTGGTCCCAAGAAGGAGCCCAGCGAGGTTGAGATGCTGACGGATTCCTCCTTCAAGACTACTATTGGAAGTGACAAGGATGTTCTGGTTGCTTTCACCGCCCCTTGGTGTGGACGTGAGTTTATACTTTTTCTATCTTGATAACCAGCTGGGCTATTTCTTGGATTTATCATGGGGTGCGTTGATGAGCTTGACTGGGTGCTAATTTGCCACCAGACTGCAAGAACCTCGCCCCTACCTGGGAGTCCCTCGCTAAGGACTTCGCCCTCGAGCCCAACGTTGTGATCGCCAAGGTCGATGCTGAGGCTGAGAACGCCAAAGCCACTGCCCGGGAGCAGGGTGTCACCGGCTACCCGACCATCAAGTTCTTCCCCAAGGGCTCTAAGGAGGCTGTTGCTTACTCTGGCGCCCGCTCGGAAGAGGCTTTCGTTGAGTTCGTGAACGAGAAGGCCGGCACTAACCGCGCCGTCGGAGGCGGTCTTGATGACAAGGCTGGCACCATCGCCTCTCTCGACGAGCTGGTCGCCAAGTACACCTCCTCCCAGAACGTTGAGGAGCTCCTCGGTGAGGTGAAGAAGGCTGCCAAGGAGCTGCAGGACAAGTACGCTCAGTACTATGTCAAGGTTGCCGAGAAGCTCAGCCAGAACAAGGAGTATGCCGGCAAGGAATTTGCTCGTCTGAAGAAGATCATCGCCAAGGGTGGTTCGGCGCCGGAGAAGGTCGACGACCTCATCTCTCGTAGCAATGTTCTGCGCCAGTTCCTGAGCCAGGAGAAGAGTGATATGGAAATGAAGGATGAGTTGTAGATGTACAATTTCGTATATGACGTGATTGGGATACACCCGGAGAGCTAGCTATATGTGATATGAAGGGTGCTCTTGGTTATATAAAATTTTGGAATAAGTCCGTCTCTGTAGAACTCCTATAGAGACAATGAATGAAAACGAAACTTTCACACCAAGTCATGAAATACACTACTATACATCTATGAAAATAAGCAGATAACATTCTCAGGGTATCTTATGCAATCCGTCTAAGACCCTGAAAAACAAGGCCCTGCAAAGACGCAATCCTCTAATCAAGACGAGAAATAAAAGTAGTGAATGCTCAAACAACCAAACTCCTCATAGAATCAAGACAAAACTCCCAGTCTAACCCCCGTCGCACCATCCAACCTTCGCAATCCAGATCACTTGGTCGGACTCCCCGGCCCCGTCGGCGTACTCGAATCCCCAGCAGTTGCCAACGAAGCCTCCAACTCATCAAGCCGTCTTGCCATATCGTCCACTGCCACCGTCCGTCAGTCATCTGAACCAACATGTCGTCTTTCGGAGGGTTGTTAGGATACGACCTACGTTTCCCGAACATCTCCCGCGACACATTATCGAATTTATGCTGTAATTGATCGAGGAGGTCATCCACAGCTGCTGCGAGCTGGCCCTGTGCATCGGTAGCCTGGATGTAGATCAGTACACAGATTGACCGGTCCAGACAAGGAGGGGGAGGGGACGTACCTGTTCGCCAGTGGGGGGAGTAACAGCCTCGGAGGTAGAGACAGATTTATTGTCGTCTTCCGTCATTTTCGAACCGGCAGACAAAATATGAGAAAAAGAAAAAGAAAAAGAAAAATTAATATAATAAGGAAGAATATGTCACGAACAAGAAAAAAAAAAAAGAGAGACGTCAAACACGATCCCAATCAAACCCTGGCACCAGTATACAGCCAGGAGACGCAAGTCATCACGATAAGATGCGCGCATACATACAGTATCACATACCATACAAAACCCAGGATCAACTATTCTCCATATCCGTCTAATCCTGATACAGCCTAGTGCATCCTTATCAACGGCCCTAACTGGATCAGGTCTAGTTCACATCCCAAAAAAATTCCCGTGGTTGCTACTCTTGATCGTCTTGCTTCGACAAGTTCTGGTTTTCGAGTATTAGGATACCCTATTTTTTTTTTCTCTCTCCCTTTTCTCTTTTCTCTTTTTGTTTCTAAATTACAGAACGCTAGGTTCTTCACAGGGAATATGCCTAAGCGGAGTAAATTGCTTCAGGCTCTGGATGACCACCGGGGTCGCGATTATGATGCTGAGAAGCAGAAGAAGCTAGTTAAGGCGGCGGAGAAGAGGAAGGCTGCTAAGCAGGCTGCTGCTGGGGAGAATGGTGTTCAGGTGAAGGATAAGGTGGGTTTCTTCTTTTTTCCTGTTGCTCTCTTTTGGTTATATGGATGAAATCCGACTGGCAATTGGTATTAACTGGGTTTGTGATCAAGGCCGAAGATCTGAAGTCTAAGAAGCGCGAAGCTGAGGAAGAGGTCGAGGAGGAAGGATCAAACGACGAGGAGGAAGAGGAAGAGGAAAAGGAAGAGACCTCCGATAAGGAAGAAGAGGACGATGACAACGAGGAAGAGGAAGAGGAAGAAGAAGAGGAGGAGGAGGAGGAAGACATCCCGCTCTCTGATCTCTCAGAAGATGAAAGAGAAGACGTCGTACCACACCAACGTCTCACGATCAACAACTCCGCCGCAATCAACGCCTCCCTCAAGCGCATCTCCTTCATCACACCTAAGACCCTATTCTCCGAGCACAACTCGCTAGTCTCGCAAGAGCCGATCGACGTTCCCGACCCTAACGATGACTTGGCTCGCGAGCTGGCCTTCTACAAGGTTTGTCAGGCGGCTGCTTCGACGGCGCGTGGACTACTCAAGAAGGAGGGTATCCCGTTCACTCGGCCCGGAGACTACTTTGCTGAGATGGTTAAGACGGATGAGCACATGGGCAAGATCAAGAAGAAGCTGTATGATGAAGCGGCGGGCAAGAAGGCGGCTGCGGAGGCTCGCAAGCAGCGCGATCTGAAGAAGTTCGGAAAGCAGGTCCAGGTCGCGAAGTTGCAGCAGCGCGCGAAGGAGAAGCGTGAGACTTTGGAGAAGATCAGTGATCTGAAGAAGAGTATGTTTTGGTTCCTCTACCTAGTTGTACTGGCTCCCATGAAAGGAATTTGCTAACTGAGCCGTTTGAACAGAGCGCAAGGCCAACCCCTCCGGCCCTACCGACAATGACAACGACATGTTCGACATCGCCATTGATAACTCCGAGTCCAAGGGCCGCAAGCGTGGCCGCGAGGATGGCGGCGGTCCCAATCTGAAGCGTCAGAAGAAGAACGAGAAGTACGGCTTTGGCGGCAAGAAGCGCCACGCCAAGAGCGGTGATGCCATGTCCAGCGGAGACCTGCGCAGTTTCTCAGCAAAGAAGATGAAGGGAGGTGCTAAGAGACCTGGCAAGAGCAAGAGAGCTGCCGCCAAGGGACGGATGTGATTGACTTATTCTTGTTCTTAATTTTGCTTGTATGGGATGTAAAAGTTGGCTTTATGGGGTTTCAAAAAGAGTACTGTCGATTTTCTCTTAGACTCTGGATCGAGGATCGTGGAATTATTCCGCGAATTCCAGGTCTGCTTTATGTGTACATTGAAACAATCTGGATGACCTTGTCCTCAGCAGCTGGCTCCTTATACTGCTACACCTAAAGTACCTGGCTTAAGGCTCCATGTACTCGCTGGCAGGCCACCATATCCAATGCCATAGCAGCTCTCCGACGGCGCTAAAATTGCAGTGACGGCTATGAATGTATAATAGATATGCTTACCAACGCTTCCAGGACCCTAAAATTGCAGTGATGAGGCTCTTTGCATCTTGTAAAATCCAAACCAGCGGTCTTAGCCGTAAAAATAAGCTTATTTTATATTATATTTACTAACTATTCGAACTTCTTCTAGAATCTCTTTCTCTAGCCCAAGTTGCTAAATCATATTAAGAAGTGTATTTAAACCCCTCCCCCGAAATTCTTCTTTTATTAACCTTCACTTATGGTTCTTTATATATATATATAAACGTTCTCGAAAACTGGTTTGAAATCCAAACACGTATAACTTGACGAGTTCGTGGCATGACTTGGGTTTAATTAAAGTTTTGGAACTAGCGTTATTAGATCTAAATAATGTATGTTGTGTTCCGGATTTCATACAATTTCAAGAGGTGTTGAAAGCTTTATACTTTCTTAGGACTATATGTTCTCTTGTACACGGTTCCTCATGATCCTATCTCAAAAAATGAGAATAGCCAACACTGGCACTCTTTGTTTTCTCTCGTTTTTCTCAACGCTACCTAGCAACTATCTATCGAATTGGATGATCCTAAGACTGCAGTGGCAGAAAGGCTCTGAGACTGGCTATGGCGAACATATCTGCCAATCAATGAACGTGCAAGATACGCCACATAGTATCTCAACCAGGCTACTCATAGTGTGAGACCTGCCAATGCTTCGATGACACTAAAATTGCAGTGAGAGGCTCAACGACACTGTAGCCGCATGTGGGTCAAAATAAGAACTATGTTCATTGTTAGATGCCTCCATAGGCTATGGGGTTAGGTGGTCCTCATCAGGTATGCAGAGACCTGTTTATTGGAGTGACACCCGTAACTCTTATGGCTTCCTTGGCCCCTTGCATAATCTCGATGATACCCACAGTGCCCTCCCCAAAGCTGAAAAATACCCTATCAGTTCATTCAGGCCTCGCGACTCTCATCCCAAAATGCTTGGAATGGGTAACCGCTCATAACCCATTGACAGGAGACGTTCTGAATCGCGGAAGATCAGCCGACCGGTCAACGGCACAGCTATACACGCCTCACGTGAAGTAGCACGCCGTCAACAAGCGGGCGGCTACTCATGAGCCAACTCTTGCATATTCTCCAGCTCCAGTCTTAAGTCCCGTCTGAATATGACTATGCGGATGCGAATTAGCCATACTAGATATAGATATCTAGGCCCCTAATGCTTGGGTGAGATTGTATGTCTATACTTGTGTTGCTTAGATGCGAGCTCGCAGCTCTAGGTGTCCTGTTGTTGAGTTGTCTGATTGCTGTAGGCGTGTTCTGCCCAGGCTAGATTCCCTCCTGAGCTAACTTGCAAAGTATCTGCCATGTTTTTCATGGTTAATACCTGGGTTATTGTATAGATGTAAATGTATAGGCTCTTTGGGTATAGTATTTGTTGGATCTACCGAGGGGGGGTAGATGATGTCTTGGTTTCTTACCCTGACGGAATGTTTGGAAGGATTATTGCTGGGCGAACATTAGGTAATGAGATGAGTATTTAACCACGCAGACTTTGGTGAAGAAGGCATGTGCATGCTTGCTGTGAAAAAAGGTCAGAAGTGCATATCATCGGGGAATGGTGAAGCCCTACAATCACTGGTTCAATCCAGCATTGAACAAAGAGGCAAAAAAAAGGGGGATATATGCTCATATTGAATAGGGATATTATCAAAATCATAAGTGCTGCCTTGCAGCTACGCTCCAATCCCGGTAGTCCCATTTGTTGCCCCATCCATGGCTGTAATATCTAAACCGCCCATTCCCCGAATATGCTCAAGGAGATTATCGACACGAAACCCTAGATTAAGCTGGTGTTCCGAAAAGACCAAGTCCATTTTGACCTTGGCATCATCCGCATGCTCTAGTGAATGAACCCGGATCAGCTCCTTGCCATGTTTCGTATTGCACTTGTGAATAACTTGGTCGCAACCCCGAGCTTGACAAACCCATGTATCGGATATTGATTCATTACCGTTAGGGGTGTCTGACTCTGAGGGTGCCTGGTCACCGACAGAGACTGATGTATTGCGACTTTGGAGAATTTCCTGTAGCGCGGGCGCCTTCTGAAAAGGCGTGGTTTCGGGGTTGGAGAGCATTGAACGGGTTCTGCGTTTCGCCCGCGTAGATAAAGGATCGCGGACAAGATCATGACCACGAACTTTGCTGGGAGTTTGAAATTCATCCATTGCATCAGGGTTATCTGAAAGATATTCATCGTCCGCTGCGGCGGAACTCCTAGTTCTCTTGCCAATTTTCTTGCTAGCGATCGTGCTTTTAGGGCGTAGCACAGATTTACGGACCCGGCGCCTTCGTGGCCTGGGCTGTTCTTCTTCACGCTCGCTGTCATCCTCAGAGGACCCATCTTCGTTGGATAAACGAGGCCGTAGTGGAGTGAACGCTACTTGTTGCACGTCGTGTTTCTTCGCGGCGGCCTTCAATTCTCGGTATATGGCCTTGCGTGACCAATCAAAATTTGAAGTTTTCGCCTCATCCATGAGCTCTATGATTGCATCGGCTTTTGATGCTATGAGGTCTTGGGCATATTCTGCACTATCGATCTCGAAGCGCCCCACTATCGTGGAGACAACAAGATCAAGATTTAACTGGCGTTTCGCCAAGTGTCCGGCCTCCTTCAGGTCAAGGATCACTTGGTAAATGGCCTCTGTTTGCGTTTTAGAGACCGTGGTCGGGTCTGGTTCATGGGTTGCCTCCAGTTCATCGTTGGCTTCGTCTTCTTCGGGCTCTGACTCTGCCTTCGGTGGCTCTAATTCAGCCTTAATCTCTTCGTAGTCCTCCTAACCATCAAGTAAGCCACCGTAATTGATACTACAGGAGAAGGGCAAGTACCGGAAACTTTTCACGGAGGTGCGCAAAAATGTCTGTATCGACCCATTGAACACCCTCCTCGCCCTTCAGCATTCGGGTAAGTAGGAAGTGATGATGTTTGTAGAAGACTTCAGCCGAATCATCATTATCCTCGCAAATCCCATGCGTATGGCTCACGTACTATCCCAGGGGTTCTACGTCAGTGACGATACTCCACCACAAGCGCATAGAAGGGGAACCACCACTAACCTCCTCGCACAAGTATTCAATGCTCGGAGTCCGATTCCTCCGCTTGCTCCGCCGCCTTTTCTGGTGTCGGTCTGCTAAGAAATATAGTAAATCGATGGCCTCCACCACATCATTGAACATAGGCCGGTAACCCCTCGCAGGTGAGATGGAGAACCAGCCCGCGCGGCCGGCAACCCAGATGCCGACCTCGCCATCATCATGCTGGCCGTAAGCGTAATGCGTGACGTTTTCTAGAACAATTCGTTTCGTAAGGTAATCTTGGTCGAGCACTAACTCCAGCGATTGATGTGTCAGAATGAGGGGGACATGAACTATGGTATGTGAGCTGATGTAGATCGGAACGCACCGAGGGACTCCTGCTCCTCCTCCACCTCATCCAAGCACCCGGTTACCTGAACAGGATTTTCCGGGGAGGCTGTGAGGAGGTTCGCATAGCGGGATTTGCCCGGGACCAGGACTCTGACCTCGGATAGACTGAACTCTTCCCAGTCGTTCTCGTCAGCAAGAGACGGGTCTCTGGCGGCCAGGACACTATCTTCTCGCGATGTCATGTCTCCGGAGGCAGCATGATGCCTTGGCCGACATGCAAGAAAGGAGTCACAGAGAGGCTCTTGAAACCGATACAATGAGAAACGGGATGAGATACAGAAGAACGGGTGATATTGACAGACGTCGTTGAGATTCCAGAGAGTCTAAAGAGTAGACGATGGTTTTGTATTTATTGAGTCTGGTAATTACCAGGCGGTACCCATTATGCACCACTCATGGACTCCGTATCTTACGTGGTCCATACGTCAGGCCGTATTACGAGTTTACGCCTTTTGCAAAGTGGGCGCAAACCCGCAGCTGTTTTTTCTTCAGGCGCAGCTAGAGTTCCGTGCTGTGGTTGTTCAGTTGATAGATTCGAGCTTCTCTCATTCTTGGATAATCAGGGCTGCGGGTCAATTGAGCTGTCTGTTTCTAGATTTGGTCGCATATAGCATTGCCTAAGCTACTACTTCACTCTCCTTCTCCAATTCCTCCTCCCCCGCGTCTGATGGGATTCCGCCCGGGCTTTAGGCTATTTCGAACCACCATGTCTGGAGAAAAGATCTACGAAGGTGTTTTCGGTATGTTCGCCACATCACATTTTCATCCACTCCAGTTATAAGTATTTCGGCAATTAACAGCAAGCTAACAACTGCAATAGCCGTCCATAAACCCCAAGGAGTTACTTCCGCCGATGTCATCCGCACCCTCCAACACCACTTCAACCCTTCGAAGCTCTTCAAGCCTTGGTTAGAAACCGAGCGCGCTCGTCGAGACCGCGAAAGCAAAAACCAGCGCAGACGGCGCCGCACGCAACGCCTGGATGTCAAAATCGGTCATGGAGGAACCCTCGATCCTTTGGCAACCGGTGTGCTAGTCACCGGTGTCGGCAAAGGCACCAAACAGCTCCATGACTTCCTGGGATGTACCAAAACCTACGAAACAATTGTACTTTTCGGAGCCGAGACAGATACCTACGATCGGTTGGGCAAGATCGTCCGGCGGGCTCCATATGAGCATGTTACGCGCGAAATGGTTGAGAAGGCGCTGGAGCAGTTTCGGGGGAAGATCATGCAACGCCCACCTATTTTTTCGGCCTTGAAGGTCAAGGGCAAGCCGCTTTATGAATACGCGCGTGAGGGCAAGGAGCCGCCGGTTGAGATCCAGGAGAGACCCGTCGAGGTGACGGATCTGCGTATTCTCGAGTGGTATGAGCCTGGTACACATGACTTTAAATGGCCTGAACAAGAGGCCGCTGCTGAGGAGAAGGCGGTCGCCGAGAAACTCCTCGCGAAAGATGATGCTCTACCTGTGGCAGCGTCCGCAGAAGCTGCAGGATCAGCCGAGAAGACAGCAGAGCAGGATGCTTTGGCTTCGACAAAACGCAAGACACCACCACCTGCGGATAGCCCCAAGGCAGCTGAAGATAATGCCCCAGCCACGACCGATGGTGAGAAATCTCCGGCCGTGAAGAAGCAGAAGGCTGCTGAAGGCGAAGCGGTTCCGGCACAGGCCGAGCAATCGTCGTCAAATGCCCCAGAAACAGCAGAAGAGAAGTCAGATGCGATGCCAGAGAAGGCTGAATCTGCCCCTCGGCCGCAATCCGCGGCTGTTAAGATCATCATGACCGTCTCATCGGGCTTCTATGTCCGTTCTTTGGCACATGACCTGGGCAAGGCCGTTGGCAGTTGTGGACTGATGAGTGAACTCATCCGGACCCGCCAGGCAGATTTCGAACTTGGTGCTGACAGAGTACTTGAGTATCGGGATCTGGAGGCTGGTGAAGAGGTTTGGGGACCCAAGGTACAGCAGTTCTTGGAACAGTGGGAGAAGAAAAGGGCGGCTGAGGCCACTATCGATCAAAACTAACCATACATTGACCTAAGCCTCAGTGGTCTTTGCAGATGAATATAATCGCTTAGATATAGTATGGGTCTGTGTAACTATGTGAGTGTTGTACTATTGGGCGTATATGGGGCGAATAAAATTCAAAAGTCTTGCAAATGTATCATATGTCCAAGATTGTCGATAGAGAAAACGACAAATGTATACACATTTAAGGAAGGAAAAGAGAAGAGGTGAATTGAACTTTTCAAAATGCATTGCTGTCCATCCGTTAGCCTCGACAGGTATCGAGGCCTGATAACCCATGTAGGTATCCAAATCCAACAATAACTCTAGGCGTAGAATGAATCAATCACTCTATACCCAAGAATTTAATAGAGGATAAAAAGGAAGGAATGAAGATGACAAGTCGGTTACTGATCCTCCTTGTGTCAACAGCGATTGATCCGCTGTTAGGCAATAGGTCTAAATCATAAGATCATGCATCTCATCAAGCAACAATTAAAAGCCAATAAGGAAAACACACTCTTAAGGTTGAAGAGAAATGTAAAAGCTGACTGCTGAGAACTAAGTAGGAACAGCTGGTAAACAAAGGGAAACCGTTTTTAGAGGGGTATACCGCTGAAAACTCTGATATCAAAAGGAAACAAGACAAAAAGACGGACGAAGGTTCCAAGACAGGGTGCATTTGTATACAGCTTTTAACGAATGTAGGGGTGTTTGAGCATTTATTGAGACAGTTGTTGATGGGCGTTGTGAGCATCGACAAGAGCTAATCACAATCAATTACCACATACTCGCTTATGATGCAGGTGGGTAAACTTACTTCGAAGGACAAAGGCTTGCCCTTGTCGTGACTCGCAGGCGCATTGAAGTGTGCTCCCGTCGAGGAAATCCAGCAAAATACTGTTTGGAAGCTCCTGTCGATCCTCATCCGGCAACGCGGGCGTCCTAAATTCACTTAGATGGTATCGTTTGACCATGTTGCGGTTACTTGAATCAATATTTCCAGGAGTCAGAACCAAGTACCCCTTATCATCAACGCGAACAAATCGTCGCTTCCAGAGCAGCGTGTCGGGGAACTGAACATTGACCTCTCCGATGTCAACTGCCTGCGGGATTTCGACTCCTGTATCAAGCGGCGTGCTTTCTTTAACCACAGGGCCTAGTGAGCTAAATGGACTCTTCCGCGAAGTTGAGGTGATAGATGACATACGACGAAGAAGTCGGGAAGCGCGAGACTCTTTCTTTCCTTCGGGAGACGAAGGGGCATCCACGACAGGTTTTGAAGCGTCTTCAGTCTTGGAGGAAGAAGAGACAGACATCCGACTATCTGACCGTGGCATTGACGGCGCTGGAGGCTGGTTACTCGAGCCAACGGAAGACGTAGACATGCTGCGCTCTTTCGACTCGCTAGCCATAGGTTCTGGCGACGGATCGGACGAAGGAGAGTCACAGGTGGTATGTTCAACTATCAGGGGACTAGCTTGGAGATCGAGCACGCTGTTCTCTGAAGGATCGGCCTTGGAATCTCCTGGTGTAGTATTTGAATCACGAATTATCCGGGCTGTGACCGACACGGAATTTGTACGTTTGACGCTTGCACTAGATTGTGAGTCGGGGCGCCTCACGCTGGAAGCTCGAGAGAAACTTTCAGGAGTGAACGATCCATGCCTAGATCCTGGCGCTGAGTCTGAATTACCATTCAATGAGACGGAGGCTCTCTTCCTGAGAGCCTCGAAGGAAGCCGACGAAGGTGCTGCTAAGGTTTGATTTGAGCTTGGTTGCGCATCGCCTCGGCTCGAAAATTTCTCTAAGGCTGCGATGCGTTTTGAGATGCCCGACGACACATTGATCTTCTTCGCCACCAGAACAGAGCTGTCAGCTTCATTGTAAGGTGTCGATACAGACCTTCCCACAGCTAGTGCGTGTATGTTGAGTGGTTGGCGTCCGATAGCACTTGGGTTGGAAACCGCTCGTGAATTTTTCCATGCATCAGGGGGGCTTCGGTCGTTTCCATTATTAGAATAGCCCGGGGATAGCGGTGAGTTCCCAACTGAAATGGGCTTGGCTTCCTCTAGTGTGGCGCTCTTTAATTCTTCCATGAATGAATCATCGGAAAGATTATCGTCATCCGAATAATCCGGTGTTGGCACTTGAATGGGTTCAAGGTGAGGTCTACGCTTCTCCTTCCGGGTGTCGATGTCCTTTTGCTCCGTGACCAATACTTCAGGGGTCAGGTCATTCTGTGTCTCAGTAACGTGAGTATCGTGGGTTGTCGGGGAGTAGGAAGTGTAACTTGTGCGAGAATCGGGGGTCGAAAGTACGGGGATGGACTGAGGCAGGGCAGACTCGGCAGGTTCTCCAATGGCGTCGGTCTCCCGTTCAACAGGAGCAAGAGGACTCTCGGCTGGTGGAGAACGCACGGCAATTTCTTCGTCTGGAATGTTGAGGGACCTCTCTTCAAGTGGGACTTCTTTGGCCGCGCTAGGCGAGCCGGGACCACTTTTAGTCTCTTCGTCAATTGACTTAGTCAAATCCTCATCGGCAACGTCATCTTCAAGCACAGAAGCAGCCTGGCAGTGGCCCGTATTTGGAAACTCTTTAGCATCGTCCTTATTTTCCTCACTTGTTTCAGAAATATCTCGCAGATCAGTGATCGACATGTCAGGGGTTGATTCCGAGATTACGGTATCCGAAACGGCTTTTATGTGCTCATCGTGTACCTCGACTGGTTCTGGAACAACGGTCGGCTGAGTCTCCGACAGGGGACCCTTGCTATGCTCTAGAACACTAGACTTATTCTCGTCTGCTTGAACACGCTTCATGTGGTCATGGGCATGACTAATGTTCTCCTTGTCCTCAATCGGGTCGAATTGTGGTTCTTTTCTCTCCCCAACATCTTGGTGAATTTTCTTCCCTTCTTGTGCCTTTTTCTCCATCTGTGTTTTCCGTAGCTGAAGTGCTTTCATTAGCCGTTCCCTTTCCTGGGATGTTCCGGAGGATGATAATGCGCTTAATGACTTGGCGCCAGGCGACAGCTGGGGTCTAGAAATAGGCATTGACAGGGGAGGTACGAGTAAAGGAGGCACGGGAGGGACCGTTCGGCCAGACATAGATGCTACAGTGCTTCCCTGGGATCGGGGACGAGCGGGACTGGGATTGCTCCTTCGCAGAGAAGACGACCGCATGCCAGCTGGCAAGGACGCGACCGGTCGCTGTTCTGCGCTTCGTGACAGATTCCCTGCAGTGCGTGGCCGTCCACTTTCATCTACCGAAGGCCGAGGACCGAGCTTAACCTTTGGTTTGTACACACCTGTGCGTTCCAGATCTTTTAAAGATGGCCTAGCCGATTGACTAGACCGTCGGGGCTCGGAGTATGACAGCTCGTCCCGCGAGGTTTTTCGCGAAGCCGGGCGCTCGGAGTCGTGGTCGCCGGCAATCGAAGGAGGACGATCGTTGGCTTGGGTGTCATCCGGGGTTTTCGTCGACGACGATGTCTCGGTGCCATGGCGAATAGAATGTGCGTCGGACGCAACCGGAGAGGCGACGATTGTTGCTTCTGATAGTTGGCTGAAGGACCTTTGCCGAAAGTCCTTGGTCGAGACTGGGGCTGGCGAAGCGTCTTTGCTTCCGGGGGTTTCCTCTGCATCTTCCGCGATTTCCATCAGCCTGCGACGGCGGAGGGAATTCGAGGAGGAGGTGATAGAACCTGAAGCGGTATGTAGTAGACATGCGGAAGATAGTGCGCTCTCAGTGAGCTCCGATGGCTGTGAAAGAGAGAATACAGTATCATGTGGAGAGAATTTATCCAGAATCGACTGAAACTGCACGGTTGTACGGGCTGAGAGTGGGTGCAAGATCTCGTCAGTAAGAGTGGGTATTGAAATGATGGAGAATAAGGACGTACCCTGTACGAGCCGAGAGATACCCTCTGGCAGATAGCTGAGCACTACCTTCCTGCGACGATATTGTAGAAATCCATAAAGCGGAGACTTTTCTTCATAACCGTCGATCGCATTCCGTACGTCGGGCACCCCGCCGGTCCCCCGATCGAGTAGAGCCACTTCATCCCTTGACACATATTGGAGAAGAAACCTAGATGCGGGAAGGGATGGTCAGCCGTTGCTTTAATCATACTGTGAATTTTTGATGCACATATCCATGAAACATCAATTGCGCTGGGGATAGCGGAAAATTGGACTTGACTTACCATCCTCCCGCTTCGCTTAAAGCGGTTTGATAGGCTTCTATGACAGCGGGATTATCTAGCCCATTGAGAGACATGACGGGAACTGCATGGGAGGCGAGACTTTATCGGAGAAGAAAAACGATAGAGATAAAAATAGAAATAAAAAGAGGTATCGCAGTGTGAACCAAGAAGTGTAGCGAGTGAGTCTGCTGGTGTCTGAAAGGAAAGAGGGGGAGGGGACAAATGCAACGAGGGACGACTGAAGATTGTAAAACACAAGAAGAGAGCGTTCTAGCCAGAAGATAGGTATGATCTGGAAGAGTAGCAGAAGGACAGCCTCCTGCGAGCCGAGATCACCCCCAGGCTGGACAACTAGCACGGGTAATTAGATATCAGGATCATTGAATGGAGGCGAGTCGAGACGGTGGTGTGTATCTCACGAACCTCTCAGGAGTTCAGGGGCTCTTAGTGGATGGTCCGATAACCTCCACTTCTCGTCTCCACGTTTTCTTGGCCCCCGATGGTAACCAACGAATTGTTGAATGAATCTCCTCGTTTGGTTCAGGTACAAACTCGGCTAGTTCTATGGAACATGGACCATCATCGATGTACTCCGAAAGTATTGCAGTGTGGTGTCATCAATGGTAGCGAGACTCCGTTGAGAGCACCAAAACCGAACATACCACAATCGGCCTTGAATTCGATCGAGGATTGATCGCAGCCACTAACGGGGGACTTGGGTCCTCCTCCAACAGCACCTTGCCCCTATGGAACACATACAGATTTGGTACAACGAACATACGGAGTACACGGGTAAATTACGATCTATCTAGTATTATCTACCTACTAGTACCCCGTACTACTCGCTCTCACTTAAATTGCCCAATATCCGATATTTTTAGGCAAGTTGCGCTTCCCCCGAATAGGAGTCAACGCCCTAGGAAGTCAATTATTTAACTCCCAATCGGGGCACGTCAAAGACAGTAACTCAGTAAGGGGGATCACATCAATTGCGACCTCCTTTTATTCATGCACTCTACGTACATACCTTCCATTGCGCAATTTATTTATTTAATTTTATTTTATCTTTTTCATTTGTATCATTCATAACGTCAAACTGGTATCTGACATCTTGGAACGCATCAGCCAGTAGTAGACCTTCGACATTCGATCAATTGTACTGTTGTATGGATGTACAGGTGATGGTCATTCGGACCTAGATACTCGTGTAGCTGAGATCATGAAATATTTCCCAGTTGAGAATACTAGAGGGCTTCGTATTGTCCTATCCAGGACCCCTGAACTCTGTAATGATTAGTTTGTCCAGTTGGTAACTGGATAAAGGTAAAAAGATCTAATCAAACTGATCAGGCTACTATAATCGGTTTGTCAAGAAATATAAACCTTAACCCCCAAAATAGTATCTCATCGAGTGCTTCTAGAAGACAGATAATGCCGCCCTAGATTCTTCACTTTTTCACTAGTTGGTGGGCTTGCCTTAAGCTTTCAACTAGTCGCACAAACAACAACGATGTCCAAATTCTAATACTAAGAAGAATGTTGCTTAAAAAAAAGTGGAATAAATCCTTCAATCTTCAATTCCCCACATACTCGCCCTACTCACAGTACCATGCTTTCCGCTCTGGAGATCTCCGCCTTGCTCGGAGACTGCCGATGCGGGGACCATCGATTTCACTATATATCAAAACCCAACCAATTTCTAAAAGAAGCGCTACCTCAACTGTAATTTCAGCATTGTATTTGCACGGAAACTATTACATTGGAATATTTCCGCTTAAAAATCGCCATGTCTCCCAGTCTACCCTCGCCGTCGTCGCTCACCTCGCTCCCCCAGGAACAACAGTTCCAGGTCCTCGATACGCTTTTTGAGCCATCCCCGGAGCTACATGCGCTCATAGCTCCTGTTCTGGCCAATCAGACGTTCTCCTCGTATGCTAGTCTGATTGATGCCGTCGGAGGCCGCATGTCCGCTCTATCCGCAGCGAATTCGCCGACTGATAAAGCTGTTCTCGTCGGGATTTTGGGATCGCATCCCCGTCTGGGACGACCGAAGGTGGCACAATCTGAGCATATAAGTGAATTGAGCAAGAAGGAACAAGCGCAGTTGAACACAGGAGCAGAGGAACTAGCGGAACGATTGCGGTTGCTGAATGCTGAATACGAGGAGAAATTCCCTGGATTAAGATTTGTGTTCGTGCCCAAGTCCTCTCCTGTCAATGACGAAGACTAACTCGGCGCTTGTTCTTCCCGGTTCTAGAACTTTTGTCAATGGACGGAGCCGAGATGTTATCATGGTGGAGATGCGACAAAGGATTGACAGAGGTGATGCCGAGAGGGAGATAGAAGAAACTATCCAGGTAAGTTGTATGTGCTCGCGTGACTGATTGGCAGTACTAATCTACGAACTTAGGCAATGTGCGATATAGCTAAAGACCGGGCGCGAAAGTTGGAACAGCTGTCGCGGATATAGATCCCTGAAGAACATACTATAGGCGGATTAATCTTGGTTTATCGCCGCAATTAACCATCGTCAAATTAATATAGCTTGTGGTCAAGGGAATTCCCAGTCCAAGGAGCCTTACCGTTCAACGTAGACATCCAGGCACGATCGCGTGAGTGGTGCTCAAGCGTTGTGGCTATGGCAACCAATGTGGAGACTAGTTCAACTTTGCATGGTCGCTGTATAATCAGAACAGAACTCCCATAGTTAATTTGTCATGTCTTCTAGAAAGTGATATTATCAATCGACTGAATGCGGAGATAACAGTGTCATATTGACCCTTAATTACTTGGCAATTGTAATTACTTAATGGGGCGTGGAACCACCTAACTATGACACAATCTAAGTAATCCAAGTATTTTTAGCTACCAAAACCGAACCCCACGCCCTGATCTTTAAAATGCTTGACTTGCATGACAGGAGCAGACTTACACAGAAACCTTGCCGATGTATTGCTATCATTGCCTCGATTCCTTGGTACTAGTACTTTGAGAAGAGAACAGAGACTTCTTAAGTTCTCCTGCGTTCCATCTTACCAACCGTTCCGCGCCGTTGCGTTTCAATGGGTCGGTCCAGCATGCGACTTTTATCGCCCCCGAACTAAAACAGTTTGCGACTAAGAAAATGTCCTGCGAAACCAAATCAAAGTTACTAGGGAAAATTATCTAAGGGTCAATGCCCGGACCCTTGATGTCATTCTAATCTCCGATTCATCCGGGTATTGCCGTGTTTCCTCTCGGTCTCCATAATCTCTCGCAAACTCCAAGTAATTTCTTTTCTTTTCCCTTTTCCCACCATACGGTGGTATTCCCGCCAAACGTTTCCGATTCCACATGCGCATTCTGGGGCGCCGCCCTAACCATGACGGAGGCTTTGCGAGCGCCCAAGGAGACTGACAGCCGAGGAGCTTCGGCGTCGCGTGCGTTGCCTATCCCCGCGATCGTCACCAACCTTGCAACCGGCTCTTCTTCGAGCCTTAAGAGGAATGGCAGCAACCTGACAATCAATAAGGACAGCGGTAGTCCTAATGAGGGAAAGCCGGGGCTGCTGCGGACTTCTCAGTCGTTCCCTATCGGTATGTCCAATTGTCTCGATAGCTTTATACCTGTGATACCGCCCGAACTTTCACCCCTTAATTCCTTTCACATGTCAATGACCTGCGGCGACGTCAAACAAACGACAAAGGCGCATTGTGCCCGCATTTCTGTCACCCATGCTTATGCGCTCTCTATATAGGATCGGCTCCGTCGGATGTAGCGTCAACCCTCAGTGGTAACCCGCTGGATGCTCGAAAGAATTCTCGGTCAGGTCAGGGCCAAAGTAATGCCTCTATCGGGGTCACTAGGAGCTCGCTCTCTTCTCCGACCCTTGTCGAGGTCAGCGCCGACTCCAGCGCAATAGATCCGTTGTCGCAGGTACGAATAGCAAGTCACTAGATCGCTCGTGTGTGTTGTGGGTGCACCAGTTGCTGATCAAACCTGCATCATGCAGCATATTATTAAACGCACCAATACCGAGAAGTCGATCCCTTTAAAGCTCCTCGGAAGGGCGTCATACGAGGCGGAAGCTGGCGGAACTGACGGGCTACCTGAGCAAGGCCCAATCCGAGATGCCGCGCTACACCGCAAGCCGTCCAAGGAGAAGAAGTGAGTGCCGTGCCTATGTTCAGCAGGGATCCGTCACGTTTCTCTAGCTACTCTTTCACTTTTCTTGATATACCCCGCACTGCAAGACAACGCACGTTTGTTTTTCTGCGTTTCCTTTTGAAGGCTAATCGAACCATTTTGAATGAGTAGAAAAGGCGTATCGTTTCTCAGCCGGATTATTGGCGGTAAGAAAAAGGATCAAATTTTCGACGACGACGACGATGTCTCTGAACCGGATACTGCTCGTATGGACACTACGCAACCGATAGGCTTCTTTCCTCGATTTCCCCGTCCTCCAAAGTACATCCGGGTCAGGGCGCATTATAAGAAGGAGAAAACATTCAGTCGAGTCTTTGTGGCGCAGGAGCTTGAAGGTGCAGATGATGTGTCACACTCATCCGAAAAAGATGGGTCGTCTTCAGTAGCGGGGGCAAGGAGTAGTAAAAATACAGGGAAAGCAGTATGGGCTCTAGTGTTCTCCAATGACGGCAAATATTTGGCGGCTGCCGGCCAAGATGGTAAGGTCCGGGTTTGGACTGTTATTACTTCACCGGAGGACCGCCATGAACCCGAGGTAGACGAAGATGGGAGTCAGGATAGTGATGAGCCTTCTCAGTTAAAAGCACCGGTGTTCAAGGCGAAGCCAGTCCAGGTGTACGAGGGTCATATAGGCAGTGTGCTTGATCTAAGCTGGAGCAAGGTATGTCTGTCATAAACAATGCCAGACCGAGTCATCCGTCGCAAATCTAACATCATCGCAGAATAATTTTCTCCTTTCTTCTTCCATGGACAAGACGGTCCGACTGTGGCATGTGAGCCGACCTGAATGTCTGTGTATATTCAAACATAGCGACTTCGTTACCTCCATTCAATTCCATCCCCGGGATGACCGGTTTTTCCTTGCAGGTTCACTTGACACGAAACTTCGGCTTTGGAGTATCCCGGATAAGAGTGTGGCATTTGTTGCGACAGTTCCTGATATGATAACATCGGTCGCTTTCACTCCGGATGGTCGGCATTCGATTGCTGGTTGCCTAAACGGAATGTGCAATATCTATGAAACCGACGGCCTTAAACCAATCACGCAGTTCCATGTCCGCTCAGCACGTGGACGCAATGCCAAAGGCAGCAAAATTACGGGAATTGATACTGCTATTTTTCCAAAGGGAGACCCTCAGGGCGAGGTGAAGCTATTAATCACCAGCAACGATTCTCGGATTCGAATGTACAACTTTAGAGACCGGACCCTGGAGGCAAAATTCCGCGGCAATGAAAACACATGCAGCCAGATCCGCGCTTCCTTCAGTGATGATGGGAAACACGTCATTTGTGGAAGTGAGGATCGCCGGGCTTATCTATGGCCGACAGCTCCAATTGAGAAGGATTCGGACAAGCGTGCTGTGGAAGTTGTGGAACCACAGTCGGCCATGGTGACGGTAGCTATCATGGCTCCCTCGAAAACGAAACAGACCCTAGGATTTTCTGAAGATCCGATTTACGATTTCTGCAACCCGCCACCCGTGACGCTAGGTAGCTCGAAAGAGAACGGACCTCATCGCAACTCGGTAGCTAGCAAACAGGCTCAGGAATCGCCGGCGTACCTTGCTCGCTCGACCCATCCGGGAGGGAATATTATCATAGTAGCCGACTACTCCGGAAAGATCAAGGTCCTGCGACAAGATTGCGCCTACCACAAACGGCGCTTTGAAAGCTGGGATACGCATTCAACGATCTCTCGCAGACTGCTACGGCGCACAAACTCCGCGCGACACAGCATCGCCTCGTCTATTGGAAAGGAGTCGTCCCATAAGACCCCCTCTGAGCGCATCATCTCCTGGCGCAACTCCGTGATCGGCCATACGGAGCGAAAGGATGGTCACCACCCAGGGACACGGACTCGGAGCCCATCCCCCCAGAGGCTCGCCGATCGGTCGCAGTACTCGAGTCCCAGACGACGTGGATCGCGCTCTGGGTATACTATTTCCCCCCCACCTTCTGCGTACAAAACCTCGACGGAGTACAAGACTTCGTTGGATAGTGCAGGATCGACCACAGAGGTACCAAGACGTAATGGTGCAGCTAATGCCCCCAAGGTACTCCAGGCAGCACCCCCATTGGCTGCCGACAACCAACCATATCAGGATAACCCTTTGTGGCTACAAGGCGACCACAGCTATGCTTTCTACAAAAGATCGCGCGAGACGCATTAGCCGCGCGGAATCGAGATTCACCTCGTCTCCTCGATCCCAATCGACTTTCTGTTCCCGGGCGACGTCAGCCGAGTGTCGCTAGTGTCCTGAGTAGTGATTACGCATCGTCAAACGGGGAGGGAAATGAGAGCGAAGATGTGCTCCGGTGTGAGAACTGTGAGGGAACGAATTTCCGAGCCACGAAAGGACGAAATGGGAAGCAGAAGTTGATCTGTGTGCGGTGCTCCCATGCTATTGACTGATTTTTTCTTTGTGATATTTATGATTTGATGTTTTCCTTTCTTTTGACTCTTCGAGTATATCCCATTTTGGCAAATATTGCATTGGTGGGTGTTCATAATATTGCATTTACAGGAACGCAATGGAGGTCTGGTATATGTGTAGTTGATGTATAGGATGGATTTAGGATACGAGACAAATGATCAAATGTATGTACAAAAGGCAGACTTTACAAAGTATCGAGGATTCAAGCAGGAGGGAAATAGTAACTGATACGCGAAGTAGATAATAACTCCGCTGCTCTCCGCCAAGACTAACTCGACTACTGACAATTGCAAGCAAACTGTCCGCACTCCACCATTAATCACACCTCCATTCACCATTATACCTCACCACCCAACAAACACATCAAAACCTTCCAAGCCTCTTCCATTAGCCAAAATACCCTCAATCGATACATCCCCAAATAACATTCAGAAACCCACTGCGACCCCAGACCAACACCACAACCAGAAAACATGCCATACCTTCCCACCTCCCAGGCCTACCTGGAACAATCAGCGCTCCTCCTCGAAGCATACCCAAACGACGTACGCCTCCCTCACACATCCAATTCCCAATCCCACAACCCCAGGAGTCAAGAAACCCCCACTCCAAGAACCTTTCTCACTCCAAGACCACCGCAAACCTAGCATACCAGCCAACTAACAAAATGAATCCAAACCACAGACCCGCATAACAACAAAATATAACTTCCCCTCCTCCCAAAAGCCCAAACCAACTGAAGAATCAACAACACAAGCGCCCCCAATCGCATCCCTCACACTAAAAACCTTCAACCCAACCTCCGGAATCTGCCTCAAATACCGCACGAACAAAGCCGCCGAGGTAGGGCGGTTGATTACATCTCTAGGAAAGCTAGCGGGCGGTGCAAATGTGGCTGCGTTGGGATTGGGGAATGCGGCTGCTGCGCCGGTAGCGCAGGCTGGTGGTGATGTGGAGATGACTGATGCGCCGGAAGAGGGGACAGGTTCTGCGCCTGCGGCGAAGACAGAGGGGAATAAGGGCGGGAAGGGAAAGAAGAAGGGTGGAAAAGGGAAGAGGTGATTTTTCTATTTTTGATCCAGTTTTTGGGCGGTTTGAGAGACATTGGAAGTCGGGCTGCTGATGGGATTTTTTTTTGCTGGCTGCCGCCGGGGGTTTCCTATTGATATCATAGGGCCTGGTATATCGGTCCTTTTTGACTTGCAGTGCGTCAAGCTGGCGGAGTTATACTTAACGTACTCCGGGCTTCTGGCAGTATCTGCTAGCGCATAGTCGGCGGATCATTGGATCCCACTATGCAGAGGGTTGGGAGTGGGAGGCAGATCCCTTTTATCACCGACAGACGGGTACTCGAGTGACTTCATACTCTAATGATGTATGTGTTGTGTTGTACATAGACAATTTACAACTTGTTACGTGCGATTCAGAGGAAATATCACATTTAGACCAAAGGCAATTGCAAGAAACAGTGACTGTTCGATTATTTCGTAAAATATCCAATTGAATGTACAGTGATATCCTATTTATTTAAATACAGTCTACCGCCCATCCATTCCATACAAAAGGGCCGAATGCCGGACAAGACACTGACAATACATTTGAGAAAAGAGTCCCGCCAATCCAACGCCAAACCCATGCTTATACCTCAAAGTCTCATAAATCAATAACGCGGATCCCAGGAATAGAAAACAAAGGGAAAATTAGCTCGTATCGGATGGCAGGCGCCAGCGGGCACTCTGCCGGGTATATTCGTGAAGTTGGTTTAGAAGTCCTCGTCGAAGTTGAGGCCGCCAGCGCTGCCGGAGCTTTCATCTTGCTTGGCTTCCTTCTTGGTGCTGGCCATCACACCAGCCTTCTGGTAGTCACCAACACGCTTCTCGAAGAAGTTGGTCTTACCAGCTAGGGAGATGTTGTCCATGAAGTCAAAGGGGTTGGTGGCGTTGAAGTACTTCTTGTTGCCAAGGGCGACCAGGAGACGGTCGGCGACGAACTCAATGTACTGGCACATTAAGTTGGAGTTCATACCAAGAAGAGCGCAAGGAAGAGCGTCAGTCAGGAACTCTTTCTCAATGGCGACAGCTTCCACGATAACGTCTTCCACAACCTGGGGGTCGGGACGGTTGTTCAGGTGCGAGAAGAGGAGACAAGCAAAGTCAGTGTGGAGACCCTCATCACGAGAGATGAGCTCGTTGGAGAAGGTAAGACCGGGCATCAAGCCACGCTTCTTCAGCCAGAAGATAGAGGCGAAAGATCCAGAGAAGAAGATACCCTCAACAGCGGCAAAGGCCACAAGACGCTGGCCAAAGGTCGACTCTTTATCCTGAATCCAGCGGATAGCCCAATCGGCCTTCTTGCGAATGCAAGGAACTACTTAGGGTCAGTAAAGTACCGAAACTGTGTTAACCAGGATCAACATACTGTTATCGAGGGCGTCAAATAGGTAGGTACGCTGCTTGGGCTCCTTGATATAGGTATCAATCAAAAGAGAGTAGGTCTCGGAGTGGATGTTCTCGATCATGATTTGGAAACCGTAGAAGCAACGAGCTTCAGGGATCTGCACCTCTCCGCTGAAACGCTCGAGCAGGTTTTCGTTTACAATGCCATCGGAGGCAGCAAAGAAGGCAAGGACGCGAGAGATGAAGTAGCGCTCGTCATCGTTCAGGCGGTTGTGCCAATCGTGAAGATCCTTAGAGAGATCAATTTCTTCGGCGGTCCAGAAAGAGGCCTCAGCCTTCTTGTACATTTGCCAGATCTAGTATCAAAGAAAAATATTAGTATATGGCGTTGATATGGGGGGGGGTCAGGGCTGATGATAAAAAAAATATCCACTTTACGCGTGACGCGTAGTAGACGTGCCGCTACTCACCTCATGATACTTGATGGGGAACAGAACAAAACGATGAGGGTTCTCTTGGAGAAGGGGCTCGTTCGCTTCCATTTCCTTGATGCTAGCAATCTTGGAGGAGACTTCGGTAGGCTTTTCAACAGCGGTCTTGGTGGCGGGCACGTCGGTGACCTGGATAGACGAAGGAGCATTCTCCTTGCCCGCGGCTTCGAAATTGAGCTTCTTGACGGGTGAGTCGCTCATCTTGAGGTTCTCGAAGGAGGATGCAGCCTGTCAAACGGGCATAGTTAGCTCATACTGTCCTACAGACGCGTCAACCCTGGGAGGCGAGACGTGACATCACGTACCTGCTTGGAGGGAGTGACCTGCGCGGACATTATGTAGTAATGTCTAGACGTCTTCAATTGAATATATGAGAAAGATTAAAGACACAGACTCAGAAACGCTCCAGTAATTTTGGTTGAGGAATTGGGATGAGGAAAAAAGAGCTGCAGAAGAGGAGGGCACGCCGACAGAAATACTTGCTTCGGACGAGAGGGCGTGATCCTTAGCGCGACGGGCTAAGTCACGTCGCACGTGACTTGGCGCGCCTCTGAGCCGATGGCTGGCGGGTATCCGGTGTTATGGACGACGCGTCTACACGCTTCATTGCGTCTTTCGTGCCTTGCCTACCCATCCATTTGGGTCAGACCACTGGTTTTTTCTCCCCTCCGGTGGTTTCAATCTCCACTGTTTAAACCTTTTAGCGTTACATCTCCACATACCTGAAAATGATTGCCATCTAGAACGCCGAATGTGGTCATGTCGTTGTTCAGTAGTCACCCGACCATGGTTTTTTATCTTATCTGATGCGATCAAATCATGCAGTCGATCTACTACTACTAGCAGCAGTAGCACTACGTAGTTATCACTAGGTACCCCATACAAAATTGCATCGATTTGCCTTTAGCAAAGGTTGTAAAGGAACGTCATAAGTTACACTCATTCCCAATGCTATTTCTTTGTACTGCACACCCTTGAACTGTTGCCTCGCGTCAGCTAGTGAGCGTCATAACAACATTCAATTTGTCCACAAACCATCTCACACTATACTATATTGAGCAAAGTCCGCAGCTCAGATCTCTTCCTGAAAGTCGCTTAATTGACCATTGGGATTACTCGAACAAATGGAGATCTGCAGGTACAGAATGCCTAAGGCTTGGAAGAGTTGGCGCGCGACGCGAGTGGACAGTCTCGGTCAGCATCTGCATTGGCACTCCCAACCCACAGCTTCAGCCTAGTTAGGCATGCGGATTTACGGCATTACAGTCCTAATATGGAGTTCCTTACATCGACTATTTCCGGATCGAGAAACTTCTCGGAGTGGGACTATTTTTTTGTCATGCTTGGGTATACTTTAGTAATCTGCAATGACGTTTATCGGCTGGCAACACATTCAGACGCGGTAACGCGACTGTGGACTCCCCATGTTCTCTCCAATTCCTGTACTACTCCGTATACAACATAGCCTGTTTGGAGAGCGTATGTTCTATACTTTAGCTTCTTGTATAACCTCGATGTAAAATATTATGTCCAACCTTTTACCTATTCTTTTTACAAGTCATCGTTTCACATAACCAACCTGACAGTAGACCGCTAGCTCATGGTCAGACCCACACGCGTTAACTGACATCGCGTGCCATCAAGCTGCATACCTGCCAACATACCTTCTAATTAGGTGTTCTAGACCTCTTCGACACCACCATTCGAATGTAAAGAATATAAGACATTACCGTGGTACATAGGTTAGCGTGAAGCAATTCTGATACCCATCTAAACGTTTTTGGCTCTATATACAGAATCTAAAAGGTAATATGACTTGTGGAACCTGAGTCAACGCCTTCTATATACATATCCTAGTGAGTTGACACTCGCTGAATAAGGTCTAATCACTCCAGGGGCTAAAAAAGACTAAACAACCACCACCTGCTTATTATGTGCCCTTCCTAATATGTCGTAAAAATCTTTAGACCCATCACAGTGCTTCTTTCATGGAGTCAGAGAGAAATCGGTCCTCAACTCTGCGCATGAGCTTGTTGGTCTGCTCGGCCAAGCTGAGGGTCAAGATCTATATCGAGTCAGCGGACTGAACCTGGTCATCTAGCCCAGTGTTGGTTGTTACTTACAGTGTGAGGCAAAATACGGGCCAAATGAGCAAAATAGCCCTTGTAAATAGCAAGTACACCCTCTTTACGAATGGTCTGGAATAAACAGTCCAATGCGCCCTTGTAGAGATTACCGGTCTGGTTATACATTCTCGACATGATAGTGTCTGGATAAATAGGTCAGCAAGATAATATTGTTGCTAGGAGGTCATTACGTACCAGGAGGATGCATGACGCAGCATACGACAAACCCAGAAGCCGTGCTACTGGCAAGATGAAGAGCGGGGCCATCTTCCATTCCCAGATGCTTGACCAGGCGACGCTTAGCAAAAAAGTAGGTGGGCAGCTGGACAGAGCTGCCGAAACCTGTCCGGACCATGGCTGCATTAACACCACGGTATAGCCCGCCTACTCCCTCAGAAGTGTAGATCTTCCGCAGTCCATCGAACGAGTTGCGATAGTTGTGTTGCGTACCAACTGGAAGGAACGGCGAGAAAGACTGCAGACGAGTTTTGACAAGGAAGAACGGAGAACCTGCAGCAGCACCGATGATACCTGAGGCAGCACCAGCAAAGACATTGATACCCAATGACTGGACTTGGGCGTCTTGATAGATCGACGTTGTGAGAGTTTTGCGCAGGGGTTCGTAGAATCCTAGACGGCAGCCATTGAGCAACACTTGATAGATGTACTAAAACGACAGTCAGCTTGCCGTTTCTCTCGTCTTTGCAAACCCGAGCGTAACACGTACAGCGGAACCGATGCCTCGGAACAGCCCACGGGGACCCTCATTCTGTAAGATGACCTTGACACCGTGGAAAACACCCTTGTATTTCTTGACCGCTTCGGATTTTGCTTGTAGTTCTCCCTGCAGTTGTAGTCTACCAACCGAACAACATCAGTGTCTGTTCCGATATGACCTCGCACGTCAGGGTCAGAAAACAAGGCGCATACCGGATCTTGACTGTTTCAAAACTATGGGTCACTGTGACAGCTCCACATGCTGCGATTCCTCCCGCGATGAACGCTCTGGAAAGCGGAATGTTAGCAGAGGTAGATCCTGGCTTGCTGCGTTATACGAGTACCACGCACCCTGTTGTTGTCGACATATTCTCTGACGGATAGCCTCCGTAAGCGGAGGGACGCTAAGGGTATCCGCGGGTTGGACGGGGACTTGATGCTAAGTCTAGTTTGGGATCGAAGACGGACAACCCATCCAAGGAACCACAAAGACTTGCGGGGAGAATACAAGTGAAGGAGTAGCAGATAGTCTTTTGAAGGTTGAAGAAACAGCGAAAGTCAGATAAGCCAGGGAGCCATTGATCTCCCCGGAAGAATTCCATAAAATCCAGTCTAAGCTTTGCCGATTGGGATTCTGGGATCGCTGATTGGCTCAAAGGGGCAGTTCCTGCCAACGGGACTCCGACCATCGGGGCTAAACCGACCAGGCGGACCAGTAGGCGCCCCGACACTAACCGCCGGTCTGGAACAACGTTGTTGCCCTCGGAGTTAAGAGAAACACGCCAAATTTCCTGGGGCAATCGCGTGCTCCATACAGAAGCTCAAGCTCCGCAGCTCAGGAATAACCCGAAGAAGACTATAGCAACAACCCTGACGGATTGTGTCAGTGATTTGACGGTTAAGGTCAATTTGGCCTCATTCACGATTGACCCAGTTCTCTATCGCACCACATTGTCATAACTATGGCGGAAGTTCAGCAACAGCAACCGCCGCCTCCCCCGCCGCCGCAATCACAATCGCAGCAGCAGACCCCTCTTCTGTGCCAGAAAGTGTCGGACATTGTTCGTAGCTTTCGTCCCACAAAGGTCGGTATATGGGCATATTTAGCGTTGGCGTGATTGGTGTCATTGACTCCTCAACTCTAGGCATTCAAGCCATCGAAGCAAGACTCGCCCAACTACGTGACCTCATTAGATTTCGACGACCAAGGCGATTACCTGGTATCCTCAGGGGACGATGAGACCATCCAAATTTTTGACATTAAGGAAGGAAAGCCTACAAAGTCGATTCCTAGTAAAAAATATGGAGCTCATTTGGCAAGATTCACGCATCATTCCCGCCAGGTCCTCCACGCAAGTACAAAGGTCGATGGTATGTTGTATCTGGCCGTGTGTCTTCATACACCTGATGACTTTTTGCTGATACCGGCCAGACTCGCTGCGATTGCTTGATTTACACAATGAAGGATACGTGCGTTATTTTTCCGGCCATACGGAGAAAGTGACATATCTGGCCGTCTCGCCAGGCAGTGATTCGTTTGTCTCATGTTCCAAGGATAATACTGTCGCGATATGGGATCTCAGTTCGAGAAATGCGCAGGGTAAATTAAAGCTTGCCACCCCGTACCTTGCTGCATTTGACCCCTCTGCTTCTGTTATCGCCATTGCGTCCCAGTCAACCTCATCGGTTCTACTTTACGATTTCCGGAATTACGACAAGTCTCCTTTTTCTACCTTTGATCTTGCGCCTTACGAAGAAAGATACACGCCTTCTACAAGAGGAAGAGCGTGGACCCGCCTCGAATTCTCAAATGATGGGAAGCACTTGCTGGTCGGAACAGATTACCATGGACATTTTGTCCTCGACGCCTTTGAAGGCACAATGAAGGCGTTCTTGGTTGGCAAGAATGGCTCGCCTGGTAGAGCTGCCCCGGTTTCAACGACGGGTAAGCCTCTTGGTCAGGGAGACGCGTGCTTTACCCCGGACGGACGATTTGTTCTTGGAGGCTCGGGTGACCACCCAGATGTTCTTGCCTGGGATCTGCAACAGCCACCAGATTCCAATAACGTTCTACAGCCAATGTGCAAGTTGCCTCACCGTGGCCGGACTGCTTTGATCGAGTACAACCCGCGGTACAACATGATGGCTACTGCTGATAAAGATATCGTCTTCTGGTTGCCAGAAGAGGGTTCTAGAGCCCCTGAGAAGTAATACTAGGCTGCAATCCGGAACATCGGACGGAGGTCACTGGATTCAAGAGTTTGACTTTGCGACAGCCTCCATGCCTGCTCTGCAAGTGGAACGGCAAACTTGTTAGGGATGGTATCAGTCTGCTGACAACGCCTGATACCGTCTCTATCAAGCCATTCTTCTGTATTTTATCTCGGTCCAACAAACGATTCTCTAGCTTTTCCGGCCTTTCTCTTTCCCAATCAAGCTCCTGGCTGTATCGCATACCCAAACCTGCGGCCCCTCCAAGTCTTCATCATCATCCCTATGCTGCTCAATGATTGTCTCAATCTGTTTAACCACAGTGCGATTGCTCGATATGGTCGTCATTCCGGTCACCCAACCATAAAAGAACACGCTGTGGTTAATATTAGACAAAATCTCTGCCACTTTGTGAGAGACTGGAGGAAGTTTGCCTTGTTCTATTGCTGAATCAATCAAAGACTTGGCTTTGACTGTCTTAACAGGCATCTTGAATTGTGGTGATATTTCATAATCAGACAGTTCCCGGAACTCTTGAATGGCAGATTTGGTTTCCTGACTCTCGGATGCGGTGTCGCCGAATAATATTTCCGTTCGTCTCTTCTCGGTGTCGGTACCAATGGTATTCACGATCTCACGCATACGTCTTGCGGCCTCATCGGTGCACACTAAGTCGTGTCCTTCCATTGCTGGCCAAAGCTCTGTGGTCAGCAATGGCCGTTCACGTTCGAACTCGAGCTGTCGGATGATGGCTCTATGATACTCTGGCGAAGGCTCTATATTTTTAAGGTGCGAGACGTCCGATACCAACGCGAGCAACAATGTACAATCCACGTTCAAAGTGGAAGTGAAGCTTTTGAATGGTGTGGGTAGAAGATGGTGTAGATGCGCTTCAGCAGTTGCACTCGTGACATCGTCGCCATTACCACCGACCCCGGAAGACAGTGCACCCTCGCCACATTCCACCGTGATACCATAGTTTCGTAATACCTTCAATAGATCATCAATCTCGCGGCTCGCGCCTTCTTCAATCTTTGGTATCACTAGTCTTAGACGAGGATGCCTATACCTCACCCTCGTGCAACTGGCAGCCTTCCTCATATCACTTGCCAACTTTACCAACTCAATCTCGTCCTCATCCTCATCCTCATCATCAGACCCACCATCATCGTCAAAATTCCGTAAAACAGTCCTCTCCTCCCCCGATTCAGCATCCGAATCGGCCTCCCACCCCTTCTTAGCCATCTCAAACAAAAGCCTCGTCTCCGAAATCGTAGAAACCTTCACCCACTCTAGCCCATCATCCGCCACGATATCCACAAAGACACTCTTCCGCTTATCTCTATTCGACCTCTTCTTCTTTTCCTCATCTTCGCCCACCCCCTCCCCATCCCAGTAAAACCTCTTCCCGAACGCAACCAACCCGGTACAACTTCTGCGAGCGATATCCCAAACCGTCTCATAAAACGGCAAATTCGACGACCGCAGCGCATGCATCAGTCTCGGCTCAACCTCCTCCTCTTCGCCGTCAGCCGCAGCATCTGCAAGCGCGCGAATCTGCCCGGACACTTTCTCAAGAGTCCGCAGTTCGGAGACCACATTGGAGCGTAGAGATCGGACCTCGACTAGTTGGGGGTTGCGCTGCGTTTTCTCGAGAAGAGCACGGAAGGCGTCTAGTTCGCCGATGAGGTCTCGGCATCTTTCCACGAGAGCGAGGGCGAGGGCTTGGCTTCTTTCGTAGTCTTCGGGAGTGGGGGAGTAAGAAGCATCGTTGGTCATTGTTGAGTAGTAGTATAGGTCTTTTTGTCCAATTAGCTTAGATGTTTGTTGTTTGTTTGTATGTATCCATGTACCTTGTGTCACTCTTTTGGGTGGTCACGTGCGTATTGCTCTTTTTGGGCTACGCTACCCCGCGTGTGGGGGGAGCCTTTGATAATGGTGCAGAACTACAAGTCTATAACTACTAGCCCTAGGATTTCGAGCATGGTAATCGTACTTTGAGTTTCTTAGATAGCTCAACGAACCCATGTACTGCATATCTCTATCGTAGGAAAAACAATCTCCATCCTCTATTGTAGTACAGCCATACGCCTTGACGAAAATTATATATATTGAAATCACCTGGACAGGAGCTTCGGTCTATCTGTCCAACTGAATATATAGCCATTGCCCTCCTACAGGAGTCCTGTACAGCCTCTCTGTAAGTCGCGTGAACTTTACTTGTTTCACGCCCACTCTCAGATCCCCTAAGGCATCTGCAAGGGTAGAAATATCTGCGCCAGGTCTCAGGATCAATGAGTCTCCCGCGCCTCCATTATGGTCTACAAAAATACTCAAAGTAGAAAGGAGGAGTCTGACTGTCGGCTTATCCCGACTGTCAAATGCCCAGGAGATAGGGGTTTTCCCTTTATCATCCTTTGCAAATGGATCAGCACCTTTTTCCAAAAGGAGACCGACTGCTGCCGAGTAGCCATTCTCTGCCGCCCTGGATAATGGTGTTTGGCCATCCTTATCCTTCGACTCCAAGTCGACGTTCTTCTCTAGATGAAGTCTGACCACGTCGTCATGGCCTTTCTCTGCAGCCCACGACAGTGACGACTTCCCGTTGCGATCCACAATGCTTGGATCAGCACAGTTGTCGAGAAGAAGTTTAACCATGGTCTCACAGCCTTGCTCTGCGGCCCGTGACAGCGGCGTCCGATCATGCTTATCCCTAGTATCTGGGTCTGCGCCCTTCTCTAAAAGGAGCTTGACATAAAATTCACTGCCCCTTCTTACTGCCCATGACAATGGAGTTTCACCATTGGTGTCTGGGGTGTTTGCTTGGCTACTAGTTTCGATCAAGCCCTGCAAGACATCTTCCAAACCGAAATACACCGCCAGGTGAGCCCCCGATATATGCAGAGGAGCAGAGGATGTGCACCAGAACTCTGCCTCTCTAATTGCCAACGCTTGGCCGCATGCAGCGGACTTTGTCTTATCTCGCAGAAGGCTCAGGACCAGTTCATGGCTTCCTTGCTGTATATGGCAATGCATTGCCTAGTATCGAGCTGAATATGTGTAGAGCGGATATTGTTTTAGAAATGCCTTGAAACCTCCCATAGCTGCAACTCGAAGAATCCAAAAAGTTGCTCCATACTAAGGGTTTGTTGGAACTCGGTTTTGTAGATATCAAATGAGAGGTACGTGATGCAGGTTGCGGCTATTTTACTATGAGCGTCAGGGAACCAATCCATCCAGGTTTGCTCAAAGTATGTTTGCGCGGTGTGGTGCACTAGTCGAACGATGCCACCTCGTGCATCAGCGGTGACCAGGCCTGCACATGTAGAGATCATATCCTCGACTTCGGGAAAATTGTCCTGATCGAGGTTCGTTTCGCCGATTTCGACGGCAAGGGCATGTTGGAGCTGCAAGACAGTCAACTGCTGTTTCGCACATACAACCCATGACAGGACTTGTTTAGCCAATTCAACCCTATCGGCCACTTGTCCTTCGATCCGGCTCATCGCATTCCTATATGCCGAGTTAACAGCATTGGTTCCTGTGGGAAGTTGTCTCAGGGCGTTTCGAAGAGCCTTGGGCGACATTTTTCCGACCAATGAGTCGAGATGAAGTTGGGCCAGAAGAAACCTGGGCGTGTATTAGCATGGCTTTTCCTTAGGTTCTAGAGGTTACTAACATTCCATCCACCGCTTCTGCGATTTCTGTAACGATCTCATTCTGAAGTCCTGCATCTCGCGAAACAAACCTAGGAAGGCGTCCTAGGTTGTCCCTCAGATATCTCTGTACATCTTTGCTTCGTGCCCTTATCTCTAGAGTAGGCACTCCCTTGAACTGGTCACTGACCTCTGGGATGGGTCTTGAAGTGGCCAAGAGACTTGCATGAGATTGGGCTTGAAGGTTGAAGATAGTGGGTAAAATGCTGTCGCGTGACTCGATTGCGGATTGGCATTCGTCCAGTGCATCGATGACAACAAACAACTTCTTATACGAGCTAGCGATAGCATGTAAGCATCTTGATATTTCTTCTGGAGGCGGCCGTGTTCCATGTTTATGGTGATTGTTGTATAAGTCTTTCAAATCATTTGGTATAGACTGTTGTCTCTGTGCCAACTGTTTCAACAGGGTAGAGAGCAACCGGTCCATGGTCCACTCGTCCTTGAATTTAAAGTAGATAAACACAATGCCGATCTCAATATCATTTCCGTAGCGTTTGTGAAGCTCGTCTATGACCAAGGACATAAGGGTAGTCTTGCCCGCTCCAGGGATACCGGGGCAGAACAAGGTTTGCTCTGGCTTCTCAAGCCATGCTCTGAAGCCGTGGGAGTCAATAAACCACTGCCCCGTTCCAGGCTGGCTTCGACTCAGATAGTCACTCTGTTGCGCAGCATGGTTCTTCAGAGAGAGCCAGTCCAGAATCTCCTGACGCTCCCTATCATCCTGGCGTTGTAATAGGCCAGCGACATTACCCCGGGTAATGCGTCCATTGAAAGCATTGAGGAGACTAACGTTACTGCTGATGCGGTTCCGGAGGTCTTGGATATCCTCTGGTTCCCATTTCAATCGTTTCCACACCCGTACAACTTTACGCAGGCCGGTGATATGGTCAGATTCCAGCACCCTGTAGGTGCTGATTTCTCCGTAAATCTCATCGAGGACGCAGCGGCAGCTATCTGCGATCGCTTGCAGTTCGGCCTTCTGGTTATCGCTGAGTTCTTTGCCGGACAAGTCGACTTCGACATCTTGCAGAACGAACGAGAGGTTCCGGACTCTGTAGGATCCCGGTTAGTAGCCATGACCCCCTTTAAAAGTGTATCCAATGCGGTGAAGTAACTGTACTCATCATTAATGGCCTTGAATTGGGATGGCGCACCAACGAATTCTTTGCGGATTTTGTTCGCGAGTTCGATGACTGTAAGGAAATCACCGATGCTGAACCCGAAACTCATTGCTGGGTGGCAGGATACAAGTATCTATAGGCGTTAGTGACGAGCCTTGGAACCCCATTTCTTATCAGGCTACGCTGGGAATAGTGCCGGATTTAAAGAGAAACGCGAATGATGTCAGCCTTGTCAGGCATCTTGGTGGGGGTTAGGCTAAAAGCAAGGAAGCCTTGTAGGCAAGAGGGTTAAACTGGCTAAACTTGAAACAAAGAGATAATATATATAAAAGAAACTGGGATAAGTTGATCACCAAAGGAACCTCTCCGCAGATTGTCGAAAGACATAATATGGGGTGTACCAAGTACAGGTCGAAATCACTCGATTGTACCCGTGTACTCCTTCCTTCCGTTTCGTAGTCCTACCCAGGCTCCTCGGTCACGTTGACGAGCTCGCTCCCCCCTTGTCACTGCTGAAGACAAGCCCTCCCAACAGCCCAAGCCTGCAGCAGAGCCCCCAAACCCACCACCCAGCCATTTTCCTTAATCCCCGTGCGAAAATACCACGCGGAACTCACCCACAGCAGCGCATTAGTGATGATTGCGACGGCCTTGTTAGTTGGATCTTGGAGAGCGCGGGGGTTACGGGACCATTGATAGTGAATGAGGCCTGTGGGGTCATTTTATCTGTTCTGTTCCTGGGAGAGAGCGAATGAAAAGCGAGTCGCGATCTACAACATACCAGTCATGAGAAAAAAGGCGCTTCCCTAAGAATGGCATCGTTAGTATCTCTGACCAAGTCTTTGGTTTCCTGCTGTGTAGTAGTCAATACCTGGTACCAGCCAATAACCCCACAGGCCCATGGCTTCGTGCCTGCAATATGCCTGAATGTCGGCTCAGCGGTCCATTGTTTCCCTCCAATCTATATAGTTGACTGAGGTTAGCTGTTGGCCTCTCCTGTCTGCTGCAAATTGGAGTGGTTGGTTGCTATGATGGCCATGGAGCAGCTGGCATACCGTATGTCCAATGGAAAGGGCGACAAATGACAAGGCCGAGGCCTGAAGTGAGAGAGAAGACGGTGTCATTTTGGACGCTATAAGGGTAAACCTGATTCCGAAAACTGTTAGGATCGTTTGAGGCGTGGTGATGCTTTACCTAAAATAGATAGAGAGAGAAAGCGCCGAGGCAGATGTATAGAGGCCTGAAATCAAGTACTGCTAATAAAATGAATCTCATGATAATACGGAGACCTGCCAGGGTGCTTGTTTATATAGGATCACAGCTCTGGTCCGTGATAACTCTACTACTACTACTACTACTACTACTACTACTACTACTACTACTACTACTACTACTACTACTACTAGTATACATTTGATCGTATAGTATACGAACCAGCCAATCAGCGAGCGTCACAGATGGGTCTTGGAAGACTGAGACGAAAACTTAGCGTGGCTTTTCATTCAGTGTCATACTACACTATGCAGGTCTGACACTTGTAGAATTATATATGACTGGGGACTGATGCATTGTTTAACGAGTTTCTTTACCAAAATGCTATTTCTAGCAGGACGCACTGCGTCAGAAGATATATGCGCATCTAGGAAAGTAACATCTCACGCCTCTGACGCCATGTTGGAAAGCAACCACCCCCCATTTTGCAACTTCTGGAATACGCCCTCCGGGTCATACTTTAGCGCAATCTCCTTCAACCGCTTAGCATTCTCCACTCCATAACTTGCCAGGGGATCCTGGTCGCGCGAAGCATAGTTCGAATAAAGGTAAGGAAGATACACCCCGGCCTGCTTCGCCTCTGATTCTGCGGCATCGACGATCTTGCGCACAGCCTCCCGAGCAAGCTCTTCATCTTTCGCATCCTTCCAGTCGGCTGTCACAAGGAACCCTAAATAGCGTAGATTAGACCTGAAAATGGTGGGTCGAGCTGGAGGTGGAACGTACACTGCTGTCCAACAGGCGCCAAGCCTAGGGGACTTTCGAGGGTCGCTTTCATAGCTGAGGAGGGCATTGGCTGGATAACGGTTGTCAACGTAATGCCCTCGACGGCTTTAAGAGCATTGATCTGCTCAGCATGTGCTTTTTCAATAGCCCTGTATACGTCTAGACTAGGGAGGCTGGTCATGGTACGGAATTCGTGACTGTAAGGGTTAGCAGGAATCAGGGGGAGAGAACAGGTTCTGGCCGGCATACAGTGCAGGCTCTGGATCTTGCACAGAATCTACTGCATTCATGAGATCATAGACGGTTCGGATACCTGGGGCCACGAAGCTAGTGACGTAGGGTATATCGTAGAAGGACTGGAAAATAGGGGGATACTCGACGGGCTCGCCGTAGAAAAAGACAACTAGGATAACGTCGTGAGTAGCATGATAGATGAGCGAAGACTTATCGTCATCTTCGATTGCGGCGTGATACTGCATCATGGCTTCGAGGACCTGATCGGTTGCTGTGATTGGGTAGATGCGGGCCTCAGACCAGTGCTTGCTTGGGATGGTCGTCATATCTAACTTGGTTACGACCCCTAAATCGGAGTCAGAATGCCGAATGTACCTAGAGATAGATGCATGGCATACCGAAGTTAGGCCCACCACCCTTCAGAGCCCAGAACAAGTCTGCGTTCTCCTGTGCGTTGGCATTGACGATCTGCGAGTTGGCGAGAACGACCTACTATAATTAGCTGTGGGCTCAAGTATATTTACATCGCGAACGGAGGGAATTCACCTCGTAGTTACAGATACCCATCGCACTGACTCCGTACTGATGGCTGTGAAAGGAAATCCCCCCTCCGAGTAACAGACCAGACACGCCTACCGTAGTGACTCGACCACCGGTCACAGCCACCTCGTGCGCATCAAGACCGCGGTATACATCCAACCACTTTAGGCCTGGCCCGAGACCTACCGTAGATTTATTCTCAGACAGCTTTAATTGCTTTAGAGCGCTTAACGATATCACCACACCCCCATTGTTGCTCGTAAATCCCGGGTTTTGCAAATGACCTCCGCTCCTGATGGAGAACTTCACGTTGAAGAAGCGACATAATGCCAGAGCTGTAGCAACTTGCTGCGCTGACACAGGACTGACAATGACATGAGGTTGGAGCCAGCAGTTGGTCGACCTGATTGCGTTAGTGAATCATTCCTACACGGTGACTCGGTGCGTATAGTGTAATATTACATACCATGGGGCTTGGCGTTGTGATTCGTAACCATTTGACCCTTGGACTACAGAATCCTTGCCGAACAGCAGAGGGAAGGCTGTGGACACATAGGTGGCCCGTTCCCTCTCTTGTTCGATGTCGGAGAGGCCGGCAAAGCTCGATAGAAGAGCCTCGATTTCATGGACCGTCTCCCGCTCCAGGTTGAGCTGGTTGTTGAGAATTGCAGCGATCATTGCATTTATTGGTCATCAACACTCAATAGTATTTGGAAGGCAAATCTGAATTGACTTAAGAAAAAGAAAGGAACAAGGATAAGCCCGTAAAAGGCCAGCCGTACGAGATCATGACACGGGCCAGTGGATCTCGGCCCCAAAGCAAGCAGGGCGCTATGCGGGCCGGCGCGATGAACTACAGCCACCAGGATCGCATTCCCCGTCAATGTCTGGCAGCCGTCAAGTTTAGCGTATGTACCTGCTCCACAATTGCACTGTTGTGTAATTTGAGAAAGCGGCGCTGCCGAGGCGAAACTTGAAAGGGCAATGCATTCTGGGCTCCCCCCCATGTGCCCTTTTTCTCCCATGTCCTCTGGGAGCCACGCCCAGATGAACCACCAGATATGGTCAGCATGGGAAGGTCAATTGAAGGGCGGGATGGCGGAGGCTTATCGCATATGACAATTGCCATACGGGTCATCGTGTTGGTCCTGGCAATTGCAACGACATTGGTGTGTGTGCTTCGGGTACGTTTTAGACTTCTGTCGCGAAAGCAGTGCGCTGAGATATAATAGATATACTTGCGTAAGTTCGTTTTAAACCGATTCGGACTCGATGACTGGTTGGTGCTGTGTGCTCTTGTGAGTTCAATCTGGAAATAAACAGCTAGTGTGAGATTGCTGATAGTTTAGATCGGAGTGGATTTGTTCTCTGCGCTTGCGTATACCATCACGTACTATGGGCTTGGACAGGATTTACAGAACGTATCTGTAGACGACTTGGCTGTCTTCCTCACAGTCAGTATAACTGGCAGCTCAAACCCATCAACCTAGACTAACGCTCGCAGCTCGAATATGCCTCGCAATGCGCCTACCTTGTGATTGCCGCAGCAGTCAAAGCCAGTCTACTCGTGTTCATCATGCGCCTCTTCCCAACTCGGTTCATCCAGGTTGCCGGAAAGTCCCTCCTTCTATTTATCGCTGCTTTCACAATATCTGGTACTCTGGCACTGGTGTTCCAATGTCGGCCCGTCCAGGCAGCTTATGATAAGACCATCCCCGATGCCAGCTGCTACCCGACTGAAACCTCATATGCCATTCTGATGATGCAGGGAGTCATCATGTTCGTGCTTGATGTGATGATACTTGTGCTACCAATGCGACCAATCTGGCAATTGCAAATGCCATTAAAGAAGCGGTTACTTGTCATAGGGCTGCTATGTGTTGGTCAGTAAACGGTTGAGATGATGGGACCAGCGGGCACTGATGAAGGGCCAGGGTTTACCGCATGCATCGCCGCTCTTGTGCGATTCTCAACTCTTAAATTTACCAACGACACGACGAACTTCACCTGTGAGTGCTTCGTCAGACCCCCTTTAAGCGGGCCATGCTGATCCACCAGACTCGGCCTCGACATCCCTTATCTGGATGGAAGTCGAGTTCAACCTCGGCCTCATGTCGGGATCTCTGTCCTCCCTACGGAAACTCTTCAAGGTTCATGCTCCATTTAATTCTGCCGATGCTTCTCAAGGGGAATCAAGCCAGTCCGCAAGCCTCGAACCCCCCAGATCCAGACACAGCCGCCTCAAGGGCGGAATCACGAAGAAGACAGAAATCATAAGAGTATATGAAACGAGTGAGAGCCAGGAGCATATTGCCCCGATGAATAGATTGGGTGAAACGAGCAATGCTACCAATGCTACTAATGCATATAAGGCCAGGGCGAATTCAACGAATCTTTGAGGCGGTACATGACCCGATCACGCCTGGAAATTTATTCAGACAGTCGAATTACTTACTGTTCACGAGTTTATGAAAGATCCGGTTCATATCGAACAGAAGACTTCCATAAATGTCAGGTTCAATGTTGGGGAAGTTTACCCGTGACGTCAAACCCAATGCATAAATAAATTTATGCTCTCATCCGCACGTGCACCATCAACGAATCAAAGCCTGATGAATAACCATGCAGCAGTCCCTTCTTGAACTTAGGATCTATATTATCATTCGAGAGACAATGCCTGGGAGCACAACATAGTGTCAAGGGTTTAATCTGAGAGCTGCCACTGGGACAGGCATCTTCTAACAGACTGCAAATCATACAACCATGTGCTACTTGACAGGCACTAAATAGTAGTTGATTTCATTATAACGACCAGGTTCGTATGTACATAAGTTTCATAGACTATTCAGGAGTAGGAAGCATCGCAAATTCCATGTCGCCAAGTTTAGATGCGGCGTAAGAACTAGTGGTTTTCTTTTCTTTTCTTTCTTTCCCCTTCTCCTTGTCGGCTGGGGAGAAGACGGAATTGATACAAACTCGAACCAACGAGCCAAACGCCGCCATATGCCTGCGAAGGATCAATAAAACCCAATGCGTCGATTCGTTCAAATAGTTGACAATAAAGGTATCTCTCATCCTCACTGATATCAGTACATAGTGACGCGCGCTTGCAGTCACAAATAATCGTTGCTCGATTCGAAGGGGGAAAAAACTAGCTTTCATGAAGCTATGCACTACTAAGCGTCTTTGCCGGTAAGTCGCTTCCTCTCGCCCGACTCGCGGGACAAATCGTCCTCATCATCCGACCATTTGTCTCCATCCTCACCGACGGCAAAGATGGTTTCTCCATCAAGGGACTCCCGGTGGCGCGGTGCAGCCGGGACTGGCTTAGGGGGCACAGGCGAGAGATCACGGCGCTGTTCATGGGCAGAACTTTCTGGGATACCGCCAAGTGCGTCTTCCTCGTCCAGTTCGCTGTTAAATGACCGGATCTCAAAACCATCATCATCTTGAGCAATCTGTAGATCATATCAGTACCAATCATTCATATTTGCCTTTCCTTATGTTGGAATAATGCCGTACCTCATCACTCATGGCAAAGCGCCTGTTGTTGGCAGTGGGGCGCCACAAGTAGGCGACAAATCCGATATCGAATAGGTAGACTAGGTTGAGCCAGCCATCCAACACGAACCACCGGCTCTTCCAATGCTCTGGTACAAAGCTTGCTTCGCTGCGACCGGCAAAGGCGATTGAATTGATGAAAAAGAAGCCGAATATCACGATGATGCTGCCCAAGATGCACCACCACAGCTTCTTGTACATCAGTGCTTTGACCTTCTGCTTCCTGTCGATAAGATCTTTCATGGTTGCATTCAACGAGTTCAGAGTCCACACATAAAAGGCAGTCAAGGTGCCCGCAAGTGGCAACACAATAAGAAGAACAAGCGGGCCAGCACTGTCTGGCGTTATTGACAGACTCGCAACGGCGTAGATAACGGCGAAAATAAAGTGGGCAATAGCGAGGACGCGAACGTAAATCATGGCCCGACCGAGGGAAGGCTTGACAACACCATATCCCATACACACAATAAGAAGCAAGAAGAATGAGAAAGCATTTCGGCCCGCATTAAGCACGGCTACAATAACCATTAGTGCCTTTGCACCAGCGTTCAGGCCGTGTCGGTTTTGGTAGTCTGCATATCGTTAGAGAGCAAGCATCTAGACTGTATATCAGTGTCGACATACCATAGAAGCCCCAGGTCATCAATTGTTCTACAATCAGGAAGACCAATATAGCAGTGATATAATTCTGTACAGGCACTGTTGTGGGTCAGTAATTGCCGTGGTAGATGGATGAAGTCGCTTACAGATGTCGTGGCGATTTTGTACATATAGGAAAGCCCAGAACCTATGTCCAATGAGTATAAATTTCAGGAAATTGCAAGGAATTTGCATGAACATACACCCCAATAAGAGCGTAGACTATAGTCAAGCCACCGTAAAATGGGAGCTTAGCGATCTGCGCAGCCGGAAGTTCACCATACGCGTTTCGGAACTCGACGACGGCTTTGTAGTCCCGTCCAGAGTATCCATAAGTGCTCACACAGTAGAATCCTGTTTTCTTCACGGGGTAGTTGATTGCGGTAGGATTGTTCAAGTGGATCGCCTGAGTTACAATTGTGAATTCGGACTCGCTTGCGTTCGGGGCAAGGATGAAGGAGCCAATATCGCCAGCCTCGCAGACTTGTCGTTGACACTCTTTTCGTCGCAAATAGTTTCCTTCTCCTATGATGTTGATCAGCTGATTGATATCTCCATGGGTGGTGAAAGAAGTGTACATCGGCATCATCCGATACTGCTCTTCCAATGAGAGCTTCGTCGGACCATTCGAAGATCACCAAGCTGACGAGAGGGTCACTATCGCCAGCGTCGCCATCACGAACAAATTTAGTCAATATGAAGGGCTCAACATCTCCACCCCAGGCTTTGCGACTGTACATCCCCGAACATCGCTGCCTATGAGCTTCATCCTGTGTCTATAATAAAAGATCAACTGTTAGAACTTGCGGCTTGAGATATCTTTCTGATGTTTAGCGCACCAATTCCACTTCATTTGCGAGCGCATGGCCCGCCAGCAAGGCAGTTAAACAAAACGTTTGGAGCCAGCCTTTCATCTTGATCGCTGAAAAGGAGCTAACTAGATAGTAGTACTATGCGCGCTCCGGAGATGCCGAAAGCCAATGGTTCTCCTACAACCACAGGATCATGAGAAAAGTAAAGGGAGTATAATATAGGTGGAAGGAGGGAGGGAAAGGATTATAATGGATTCCGAAGAAACAGCCGACACTTTTGTTCGCAGCTCCGACCTGGTTGGGTAAGGCGGTAGGGATTCGTGGCTACCTTGCACTTGAGATGGAGAAGCCGCGTGTTGACGTCCCGCCGATACCATAGTATTATCTAAGCCCATTTCTCCGAGTATAAATGGAGCAAAGCCTAGGAATGTCACCGCCGAGGGGATTTCTGCCTCTTGCCGGAATTTTGCCTCTGTCCGATAACAGATACAAACCAAAGAACCACAAGAGCAACCCTGACACGGTGGTATAAACAGAAATGCCTGGCAAAGAACTGTCAGACCCTTGCGTCGACTGCCGCGATGTAGAAGCTATTTTAACATTGCGGCGGCGGCGTTTATGCAAGTACGAATTTTATCTACTCTCCAAGTGGGGTTGCTGCAAATACTAACCGGCTCTTTCTCTGTGCAGAGACTGTTATATTAAATTCGTGTCGTACAAAGTCTTTAAACGCATGGAAAATTATCGCTTGAATAAAGGGTTCGCAAAAGATAAACCGTGCAAGCTGCTCTTTCCTCTTTCTTACGGTCTCTCCTCGTCGGTGCTGTTGCATATGTTGCATGCTCAGCTTGAAGTTCAGCGCTCGAAAATACACGCATCCCCGGGCTTTGATTTACATGTGCTTATAATAGAGCCTTCGAGTATCTCGCCCTCGAATCCTGCGCATGATGAGGGTTTCGAGTTGGCTCAGAAATGCTTCCCTTTGTGTTCCTTTACCAAAATTCCGTTTCACAGTATCTTCGACCTAGTCCCTGATTTCAAGGAAACTATGTCCCAATTTGCTGGCAAAGGATTCGAGGATGATCCTTCGTTGTCGGATGCAGAGCGCCTCAATGCCTTCCGCACGTGTATTGCAACGTCCACCTCTAAAGCTGATGTCGATTATATCTTGATGAACCGACTGGTTGTGGCCTTCGCAAAGCAAATGGATTGCCAGGCAGTGATTTGGGGAGATTCAGATAGTAGACTCGCTGCGAAAACACTTGCCAATGTTGCGAAGGGACGCGGCTCTTCAGTAATCTGGCAGGTCTCCGACGGAATGTCCCCATTTGGCCTGGAGTTCAACTTCCCCCTGCGAGACTTGTTCACGGCGGAATTGAGAGATTATGCCAGTTTTTTCCCGGAACTCACCAAACTTATTGTACCAGATGAACCACTTTCAGAAAATACTTTAACAAAGAATTTGTCCATCGACGAGCTCATGATGCGATATGTACTGACGCAGGGCGAGAAATACCCCGGTGTCATGCTGAACGTGACGAGGACGGCCAATAAACTCGACGTCTCGCAAATGCCAGCCAATCTGTCCCCCTGCACTTTTTGCGGTGCTCCTCTGATGAATGAAGTAGAAAGTGGACATGCTCAATTCTGCTACGCATGTGCTCGGTCACGTCCAAGTACAAGCTCGTAATGGGATTCTGCAAAATTCTTGATCCATTATCGACGAAATTAAGACAAAAAGCATAATATATCAACCAAGGTATATGTGACCACCAACGCCTATAAAAGACAAATTCGCAAAAATGGGCCCCCGTGTCTTCATAAATATCGATTTTCACCTATGGTTCTGAGAATTGTCAACGACTCCAGCTTCGAGGTCATGCTCCCGCTGGGAGGCTCCACCGAACCATTTGGTATGCTTTCGGTTGTCGTGGGGATGATGTGCTGGCTCATTCGTTGCTCGGCGGGTGTTACTGCGATGCCTGCTGCGATGCCTGCTGTGATGTCTATGGCTTTCGCGCCTTGAAGGACCATCCACCATCATCTGGTCATATCTGTCAAATTCGTCGGGCAGACTTGGATCTGTATCATTCTCTTGACGTCTTCGCTGTTTTGAAAGCGCCTTGGCTCCCTTCTCCCTCAAATGTTTCTCCAGCATAACAGCATTTCTTGTGTTACACTTGTACATGGCGTCTGCAAGATCCCCCACGAAGGGCACGAGACCGATAGCGAAATCAATAATGACATTGATCAGCATCATCATTCTGAGGCGTGCCGGAAGCCCCCCGTCGATCTTGTCGCACGTATTGACCACCATCATCGCAAGTGCAGCATCAACAGCATCACCGGCACTAACCAAGACCACAATTAGAATTATTAGACTACACAACTTGGCCAGTACTGGTACTTACAATGGGACCAGGCCAATCACACTGCCCCAGCCAAACCGGATGCCACACAGGCTGAACAGACACAAGTCTAGTCTATATGCCCTGCGTTTCACTTGGGTAAGGACTTTCTGGTCATTTTCAGACAGACCCGGTGGTACTGCCTTGCGCCGCTTTTGAGTCTTTTTGCCGAATGCGCGGTGCAGACGTGAGGCTGGAACTTCCTCGAAATAAGGATCCTATGATAAATGTATTTGTTTAGCCAACCTTTGTATTGAGAGAGCATGCGAGGCGCAGCGGACAGCTCACCTCTGTTCCAAAATGGTTTCGTGCCGATTCTGCTAGAATTCTTTTCCCGACCAAAGACACGAGCGGGCCTGACATGATTTTGCAACCAGACTGTGGGTAAATGATTGTACACCGTAAGCTTGCGGCAGGAAGCCTTGTGCCGAATTTCCAGGAGTATTTCCGTCAAAACCGTATCTTAAGCGTCCGGCCAGTGTTACTAGCGATAGTAAGAAGGCAGGGTATATATACAGATTCTTCTTAAGAGACGAGGTCGGATAACTACCTAAAGGTAGGAATTTTTTTTTTCCAGGGGAGACTCGAAGCGAACATTTAAGCTCTAGCCAAGACTGTTGTTGTTCATGCAGCGGGCTTTTTATCATTCCTGTGCTCATGGGCATGGCCCGTGTGAGGACGTCATCCCGCAGTTTCCAAGTTCCACCCGACTCCATTCCAAAATTACATAATGCCACCGACGATCATGCACTAGCCACATCGCCACACCTGTGGCGCACGGGCATGCCGCACTGGGCTTCCATTGGGCAGCACCGCCACAGATTCGGCGGGCTGCGATTCAGCTCTTATTTCCTCGCGATTCTGTCTTCGGTACGTTGGGGACAACTCAATACCTGTCTATCTCAACCACCCTCCTCATTCTCGGGTTTCCAGTCGTTTGGTTCGCCGATTGACAAACCATTGGTTTGTTCCCGTCAGCGCCTTATCTCCTCTGCAGCCACTGTACGCTTCAGGGTTGGCGCTTTGCCAAGCACCCTTCCTTGAAGCTGCATCATCGCTGTGCTGTCCCCTCCAACCCGTCCTCTCACTCCGCGTCCCAGACTTCGGACACCTTTACTCCCCTTCCCACCTAGGCTGAGTTGAAATGCTAGGGTACGTCGCACAATATGACAGAAACAAAGATGCATTTAGAAGATTGTAAGTCTGCTTCCCTTTCATTTCAGACTTGGGATGGGTCTTCATTGGCCACAGCGATACCGAGACAGCTGATCTCCAATAGGGCTGGATGACCTGTGTGTCCGCTTCATTATAAACTTGCCCCGGGAAGAGCTCGAATCGGTCGAACGTATATGTTTCCAGGTCGAGGAAGCACAATGGTTCTACGAGGATTTCATCCGGCCGTTGGACCCGGCTCTTCCTTCACTGTCCTTAAAAGCTTTCGCCTTGCGTATCTTCCAACACTGTCCGTTAATGTCACAATGGTCACATTACCATCACATCACAGCATTTTCGGAGTTTCTGGCATATAAGACTCGTGTTCCGGTGCGCGGGGCTATAATGCTTAGCCAAGACATGGACGAGGTAGTTTTGGTCAAAGGCTGGAAGAAGGGTGCCAATTGGAGTTTCCCACGAGGCAAAATCAACAAAGACGAAAAGGATCTAGACTGCGCTATCCGCGAAGTCTATGAAGAGACCGGCTTCGATATTCATGAAGCTGGGCTCGTTAAGAACGAAAATGACGTTAAGTTCATTGAAATCACTATGCGAGAACAGCACATGAGATTATATGTCTTTCGTGGGGTACCTCGCGATGCTCACTTTGAGCCACGCACTAGGAAAGAAATCAGCAAGATTGAATGGTACAACTTGTCGGAGCTGCCAACGTTGAAGAAGAGTAAGCAGCAAGACCAGGGCTTCGCGGTTGCAAACGCGAATAAGTTTTATATGGTCGCACCGTTCATGCATCCGCTCAAGAAATGGATCGCACAGCAGAAGAAGCTCGACGCGAAGATGCAAGTGGGTGCGACTCAAGTGTTACAGAATGAGGGAGAGATGTCGATGGATGAAGGTTTTGCGGCACCTAGTCAGTCTCTAGGACTGGCTACTTCTAGCGACCTGCCCGAGGTTGCGCCATCTCAGGATGCCTCCGCCCACCTCAAACGCCTCTTGAACATCAACGACGCTGTTCATACGCAAGTCCCGGCTCCCTCTATCGATACATTACCAGCTAGCGCCTCTAAATCCAATGCTCTTTTGGAGCTTTTGAGAAGTGGCTCCTCCCGCGGGCCCACTCCACAGGCCCCGAGCAATGAACAAACGTCGCCATCGCATGCTATTCCTGCAGCAGTGACTCCTCAACATCCATCTTATCCTGCTCCGACCTTGTTCCCAGGCTTTCCTGTGCAAGGTCAAAGTGCACAGCCTGGTTATCTCGCACAGTTTTCACCACGGCAACCGCCTAGCGCATTATCTCATATACCACATACAAACAACCGTGTCCTTGATCAGCATATGTCTCAGCGGTCATTGGCCCAATCATCTCCCGCGATGAATCAGCATAGCCGTCCAGCTGGGTATGGTGGAATGGATGCTTATACTTCGCGCCACATATCTATACAACCCTACAACGACGCGCATTTGCCGTCCGGTCCGCACGCTGCACCGTCAAATCAAGCACCTACGGCCCCTTACCAGCAGACTGGAGACCCGTTTTCCCAGCCAGCTCAGCCCCCCCAAATTCAAGGAGCGAGTGTGCCGCCTGCCAGTAAGCTACCGCCTCCGAAACTCACAAGCCACTCATTAGCGCTATTGAGTGTTTTCAAGGATGAATCCTCGAAGACACCTAAGACTTCTCATGCATCCTTGACACCACAGCCAGAGCAGGTGCCCATGAGTGGGCGCAAGTCGTCGCAGCATCAAGACCAATTGTTAAGCCTCTTGAGAGGTTCTCCGGTTACCTCTGGTTCGACACCAGCCGAATTAGCAGGCCATGCAAACTCTCCCACTAGAAAGCAGATTCTACAGCGGCCACGTGATTTTAGTCCTACCCAACAAGCACTCACTTACACGAGTGCGGCACCAAGGGTTAATCCCTTGAATTCAAGCGCAGCGCCTAGATCTGTGCATCCACCACAGCCTGGCGCAACTGCTAAGCCACCTGGTAAAAAGAACCAGAATATTCTGAATCGAAGGAACAAGGATCGACAGCCACAGGGCCTCTCTTCACCCATTACAATTTTAGCTAGGCCCCAATCCGCTAAAAGGGAGCAATCGCCTAATCCAGCAGTGGCTTCATCCTCGAGGACTTCGTCCCGTACCCGCAAGGATAGTAAGCCGAAGACCTCTGAACCCCCGAAGCCTTTCCAACCACAAATCCTACGCCGTTCTCAAAACTTGGACCATATACTCCCTGTACGGACCAAGGGACCGCATCATTCAGAACAACAAGATGGTCCTCAGGTTCCAAGCACCGAACAGGAGGCAAGCAGCTTTGATCGCCGACCAAGTCAATCCGCTGCTCAAAAAGAGACTCTTCTCTCCCTTTTTGGCAAACAGCCGGTATCACCGGGCGTTCCGCCCGCAGTAGAGCTCAATGTCCACATCTCAGGACCAAAGCCAGTAACATCATCCGTTGTCAGTCCGCTATCGCCTCTTAATCTCCCCACTCCGACTGGGATGAGTGGAGAACCTCCCGCGTCAGAAGATAACGGCAGCCTGAATGCGAGAGTGTCTTCACCAGATAACAAGGCTTTCTTGCTTGGATTTTTGCAAGGGGTTGCCAAGGGGAACAAGTAGGCGTGCTTGTGCCCGCCATATCCTTGTAGTACTAAGTTTAGCTCTTTATTTGGACAGGATCCGTGGCGCTTGGGATGGTATAATTTAATAGGCTATATTCTTTATTGTTTCTTGGACTTCTCTGTACGTAATGAGCGGTCAATTCGCAGTAGTAATTGAGTGGAGCATAGTATATATTCTGCCGCGTGCCACCGCCCGCTGATTGATATCATCGTCCATGGAGCTTTAGTTGATTTGTAAACTTTCTCCGGAGCTACATCCAACTTTCTAACAGTGCCATCCGATAACTATGATGCGGCCTAGCCCATCTGTCCGCACGTTATGTGCTAATTGTTCGAATCACGCCCGGCTCTTCTCAACCACTGTCCATTCACGCTCGCAGCAGAAGAGCGATGCCACTCCAGCTTCCCCGCCGCAGGCCGGTTATGCTCGCCTCACGAACCGAGGCCTGATTTCCATCACAGGAGTCGATAGTACCACCTTCCTTCAGGGGCTTATTACCCAAAACATGCTAATGACGAACGACCCAAACCGCGCAACCCGTCGAACTGGATCCTATACCGCCTTCCTCAACTCTCAAGGTCGAGTGCTGAACGATGCTTTTCTGTATCCTCTTCCACAAGCAGACCTTGTGTCGCCCGACGAACCAGCATGGCTCATCGAAGTAGATAAAAATGAAGTAGCGAGTCTCATGAAACATTTAAAGAAACATAAGCTTCGCGCAAAGCTAAAGCTACGTGCCCTCGAAGATGGCGAACGCACAGTGTGGGCCTCATGGAAGGACCATGAACAGCCCCGCTGGGCCGCATATAATCTTGAACCCCCATCCTCGTCCCCGTTCTCGCCATCATCCTCGATCGCCGGCTGCATTGATACAAGGGCTCCCGGGTTCGGCTCCCGCCTCATCACTCCGGGTGCGGAAGATCTTCGGGCCCATCTTCATGATGAGACTCAAATTGCCGGCTCAGAGGTGGGTCTTGGAGCCTATACTGTGCGCCGAATGCTGCACGGTATTGCCGAAGGCCAGTCTGAGATTATTCGTGAATCAGCGCTCCCGTTGGAATGCAATATGGATATGATGAAGGGAATTGACTTCCGCAAGGGCTGCTATGTGGGTCAGGAACTTACGATTCGTACCCATCACACGGGTGTTGTACGGAAGCGTATTCTGCCCGTGCAATTGTATACAGGAGGTCAGAGTGCTCTTGAGTCCGCTGAGGGGCCCGTTTATGATCCTACTGCGGAGTTGCCTCTACCTCCAAGCGCAGCGAATATGTACAAGATCAGTGCACGAAAAGCGCGTAGTACGGGCAAGTTCCTCGGTGGAGTTGGTAATATCGGTCTTGCATTATGCCGGTTAGAAATGATGACCGATGTTACTCTTACTGGCGAGCGCACCCAGTATAGCCCCGAGCAGGAGTTCAAGGTGTCATGGGATGTGGCAGAAGAAGGTTCATCAGAACACCAGGGGCCTGGAGAGGTCAAGGTCAAAGCATTTGTGCCTTCTTGGACGAGAGACTTCATCCACAATGGAGGGGTGAAGAACAACACCCGTAGTCGTGAAGCCGAAGAAGGCCGTCGAGCACGGGAGTTTCTGGAGCAATTAGAAGAAGAAGAGTCGCTCCGGCAGAAAGAGTAATAGACCTTTTGTATGATATAACATATGTATAGTAACGACCGTGTATCATAGCACAGCAATCAAGCAAAATGTGTTCCATATGATGAAGGGTATCTCTTGAACTAAATAGTCTATCTATACATAATCCCCACAACGCCAGTGATTTGTCCGGTTGAATTCAGCCGCAGGCTAGAAGAAGCGCCTGTAAGAACCGATGCCCAACATATGCGGTTATAGCAATTAAGAAAAGGGAACCTGTGTATAAAAAAAAGCATGGTAAACTAAGCATTGGCTTCAGCGGCCGCGGCCTCGGCGGCATCTGCAGCCTCGTCTTCTTTCCGAAGCTGCTCCTCAAGAGCTTTGCGCTCCTTCTCTCGCTGCGCAGTCTTTAGTCGCATTAATGTCACTTCTTCCATGCTAGGGGCACTTGGACCGTTAGTCGACGAACTAGGGTTCGGCTTTGCTGAACCAGCTGCGGCTGCAGCAGAAGCGAATGAACCAAAAGACGGCGCTTTACCAGGCCTTTTGCCATCTGAACCCGTCATCTTGACTCCAGGGAAGTTAAATGCAGGCTTGGGAGGCGCAGCTGCCATCTTTGGCTCACTTTTCTCTGCGGGAGGAGAGGAAGGACGGTTGTCAGACCCTGCTCCTAGGTCAGGTTGATTGCCAGATGCCCAGAATACAGAGTCAATCGAGCCCCAATCGCTATCGGTTTGCCCAGCGCCTTGGCGTATCTTCTTCTCACTGTCCAGAACGGCAGCATGCGCACCCACGATGGAAGTAAAGACCACAACGCCCGTTGCGACAGTCTTTTTCTCACGCTTATCTCCAATGCGTTGCCGCTTATCCTTGAGCACAACAACACTTTCGACCTTGCCAAACGGAGTGAACAAAGACGTTAAACGATCTTTATCCAAGTCCAAGCCCCTACCTTCACGAACCCAGCGCGCCTTCACAGCTCGTTCTAGTTCCGGCACATTCGCTCCACCTTCCTGCGAGCGATCGACCCGCTGACTACTCTTATCTGCAGCCTTCTGTGCCTCTTCCTCCTCCTGACGCCTCTTCTTCTCGTCGTCGTCGGCCTTTTGCTTCAACCGCTCCTCCGCCTCTCGTCGTCGTCGCCGGCCATCCTCCGCGATCCGCTCAATTTCCCGCTGCAGCTTCTCCTCCGCGTCATCATCACCCGTCCCACTCATCCACGTCCGTTTCACCCCGCGAGGCGCACCACCCATCGCCGCAGCACCAGCGCGTTCCCTTGCTTCCAGGTCCTCCCTCATCTTCCTCTTCGCCGCATCCATCATATCCCGCTCGCGCTGCTTCCGCTGTCGCGCCTCCCGCGCATTATCGTAGAGCTGTCGTATCGACGGATCAGAGAGGACATCGTAGGCGATCTGTAAAGTGTGGAACTTGTCGATGTCTGCAGGTGTCGGGTTCGCGATTTTGTCGGGATGGTATTTAAGAGCAGTTTTTCGGTATGCGCGACGAATCTCGCCTTCGGCAGCGGCTGGGGATATGTCTAGCAGGGCGTAAAAATCTTGATTAGAGGCGGCGTGCGCCTTGAGATCGTCGTTTGAAGCCATCTTGTTCGAATTTGCTAGGATGTAGCGATATGGGGTATGGTGGCCTAGGAGGGTATAGAGACTCGCGCTTTATACGCAAGTATCCTTGGACACCCCTATTTGTTTTTCAGACTCAGGCTGAGGTGAAGGGGATCGAGATGTAATGTATGTGAAATGACTTGGGAAAATAAATGTTGGTATTCATTTAAATTGGCGGAGGCGGTGGCGGAACTTGAAAATAAATAAACTGCCCTCGGCATGGTCCGTGATTTATCTATCGATGCATAGAGGGCCATAAGAATAAGGCTAGATAAATACGCAGCCCAATAGCAAGAATAACTATAAACCATTGCAAGTTGCTCGACCATAAATCCATATCCACCTTCCAGCAGCGCAGTTATTTATTGTACGAGCCATGCTATTGCTATATTATTGCCGGTCTCCAAGACTTTCAACACAGTGCTTGCTAAGAGATACATGTCATCGACGATATCTTACCGGTTCGATCTGGAGAATGGGAGGTAAATTATTCGCGATTTAATTAGATGTTGAACAAATCTTTGAGGGCAAAATTTGCAGCGACTCTATAATTGAGGAATCTACTACCCAGTAAGTCTTGTTTAGTATATATACTTAGTACTGGTAATCATCCGATCTATATACTGGATCAATAGTCACCACGGATTGACCTTGACTATAGGAAGGCTACTGCAGGTCATCCAATACTTTGTACAAGTTGCGGTAATAAAGATCATCTTCCATAGATACTTAATGTGCGGTGTATTCTGCTTATCGTTATTCGACCCTTACAAACCAGACCAACATCCTCTATCCAAGTCTCTTTCACACATTGCCTCCTATAAACCACCAAAAAAGATGAAGTCTCTCACTCTCTTTATTTTCTGCCTCCTTGTGCTTATCGCAACAGCTGCTGCTGACGAGATCTCAAGACGCACAACGTTTGTCGAATGCTCGACTAAAAGACTGGATAGAGAGAACGGTGAATTTTCAAACTCCAGAATAACGAATTGCGAAAATTGAAAGGGATTATATACCATGAGATCATGAAAGTGCCCCTTGAATTATGTTCCACGGACAAACCTGAGCAAGGCCTGAGGGATATCGGCAAAGCCACAGCAGGATTACCAAGAGTTCCAGCAGATCCACTGAACAAAATGATGTCCAAACTGGAACAACACGACAGGCATTGCATCAATGAGATGGGGAGTTAGAAAACTGAATTAACGCGGAGTGGCGGCATTGGCTTGCTGTAAAGGAGTAAAACAGGCGCTTTCAGGCGGGATATTACTTGAAGATGGAACCATTTGAGTGCTATGTTATGGGAAAAGAGAAGAAGACTGCAAGTTTGGTTGTAAAAGTTTTTAAAAGATGAACTCAGTAACAGTACTTTAGATGAACAACCAGCTGATGTAGGCCAAAGCACGTGTCTGACAGCTCCCTCATATATTTCACTCCCATAGTATCAACGAACTACTCACTTGAATATACCTGACCACTGAAGAATCCTCCCAGAAAAGATGGACGATGACACTATCCCTTTCCCAGCACAGCTGGCTCTCGCAATAGCCATCGTCAAGCAGAAACCAGCAGACTTAGATATCAGAGGTAGACAAAGACAGCATCAAACCATCATGATTGCATCTACTCATTAAAAACAATAAACCTCACAGACTATATTCTGAAAATCAGACTGCATATCAAAGATACCCGAGACGCAGACAAAACCTATATCCAGGACAAAGATAGATTCTTCGACAGCGTTTCCTTCTGGCAGCAGGCTTACGAAAAGTCCGAAGCAGAGCAGAGCAAACTAGTAGATCGCATTTACGACCTCGAAAGGCGCAATGAAGCCCTTAGTGTTAGATTACAGGCCCGAGATACCCCGTTCGAGGCGGAACAGTCGTCGTCAAAGCGAAAGGTAACCGTTGGTGGAAAAGCCACTGGAGGCACAGCGGCACGAAAAAGAGCCAAGACGCAGATGGGTTCTTTGGCCAATGGTGTCCCGGATCATACCTCAGCTCCATGGGATGGACTTGATCGACTTGACTATACCGAGGAGTGTTAGTTTGTTTCGTCATCCCCATATTCTTGTGTGCTGCGCTGACTGGTTCTTGTCGTAGCTATCGGGCCATTCATGAGGCACTTTTATACGCTTCAGAAAACCCTTAGGAAGAAGCCGAATGGCTTGGATATTGTTAAGGCTGCGGTGAATCTATGCGAGACCACTGCAAATGAACTCTCAAAGGTAGTCTCGGAGAAAAGAGCGACCCACTGTGCTTCGAGTAATAAGGGCTCAAAACGGATTGAAGGGCCAACTACTGCTGAAGTGTTTCGCTGTATGACATGCGCTTTCCAGCTTCTTTTACAGGCGATGAAGGCTCTGTCTGGAATAGCGAATGGCATGCGATATTCCAATCGTATCATCTACCATATTGTTCGTCTGTATGAATCAACAATGAATGCTTTGGAACAATGGTGCAAGGCCAAATCCGAATTGACACAGGAAGCCAAACAGAAACACGCAGCAACTGACAAGAAGGTCAAAGACAGACAATTTCCTGACTCCAATATAAATACCGATGATAAGGTTGCTACGCAGATGGCTCGATTGCTAAACGCAATGGCTTCCTCACTTAACCCTGGGTGTCCGGGACACCAAGATATACTAGAAGGGTTTCTATTCATTTTGCTCAATCGCGTCGGAAAGTTGCTGTGTCTGTTCGTCTTTCGGGATCTGAAGCTACGACCTAATCTTCGTGCAGACTTTACAAAGATTCCGCTCCCTAGAGGCTTGACAGAACTTGACCTCAATGATAATTCGCTGTGTTCAGCAGAGATGAAGGCGAAATGCCTAGTCTGGCTATTAGAGAGAACATTGGCCGTATTACATAGTTTTACTTCATCTCCATCGGCATCTCGAGATAGTGCTGGAAGCATATTATTTGCAGCAAATCTCAAAGAAAGACTGCAAAGCACTCTGCTCCAGGCTGTTTTTGGCACAGATTCGACTTGGGGAAGGTCGCTCCAGCGACCTGCCCTGACTGATGAAGATCTTCCCAATCTACAACTGCCTTCTCAGGACCCTGATCAATCAGTCCCAGACTGGTTCACGCAAGAGGTATGGAAGTTATTAGGATGGGAAATATTGGTGAAAAGCAACGCTTCAAAGCTTTGAATACAGAATTGTAACCAATTACTACTCTGTCAGCTAAAGAAATGTCAGTTTCCAATAGAAAGTCCATGGGTGTGTTCTCCAATTGTTTATGATTATAAATATCGGTGTTTTTCTCGATCATTCCTAACAGTACTCTGATCAGATATCATTTCAAGTCTAGAATCCGAGCTGCATTTCCGCCCAGCACGGCTGCGGCTGCATCTCCATCTTTATCGAACGTAGCGTGAATGGCCTTGTAGTTTGTTGTCACACTAGGCCATTCCCCTTCCTTGTCAGCTAAGGGAGGGAAGAACGGGTGGTCGGTACCTAGTACTTGGTGAGCAAGATACACATTTAACTAGCGATGTTCCAACTAAAATCATACCAAAAAGCAAACGATCTGTTCCAGATGCTGTCATTGCTGCTTGCAAGCCGGCAGTGCCATATACCACAGCATCAAGATATATATTGGTCTTCAAGACATCCCAGACGCTTCTTTCAGGGCCAGGCACATCACCACCATTGGCAATGAACTTGCGCTCATGATGGATACAGCTTTCGATCCGTCCTGCAAGAAATGGAAGCGTGCCTCCAGAATGGGCCAGCAAGATCTTTAGCCGCGGAAACCGATCAAAGACACCTGCCAAGAGCATTCGAGTCACTGCAATTGTCGTTTCAAGGGGAAACCCTAAAGCCAGCGGAAGCACATGGCCGTATCGATTCATCGCATCTGAGCCACCAAAAGCTTCGTCGGGTAGTCCGTAGTGCGGGTGTAAGAATAGAAGTGATCCGGTATCCTGCAGCGCCCCCCAGACAGGATCCAGCTGGGTATCGTCCAGACCTTTTCCCAACCCTGAGGTTCCCATGATGACCCCACGTAGATGTGGCAAGGTTTTAAGTCTCTTGATTTCGTTCACGACAATATCAGCGCTAGGAGCACTTAGCGGCAGTGCGCCGAAAGCAAATAGCGATTCCTTCTCGTGTAGCGCCAGGGTTTTGTCTGGGTCTCCGGCCTTGTTAACGCGTGCGCATGTGTTTTCAAGATCGTCGTTGATGCGTTGCGCCCATGTTTGCGCTTCTTCAGGTTCGAGAAAATCTAGCCAGGGGTTGGCGAGGGAAATCACGCTGCAGTTGATTCCATGGCGACGCATGAAGGCCAGCTTCACGTCGATATTCCAATAGGATGAGTCAACTGGACGACCCCGTTCATCGATAGGAATGGAAGGGTCGTCATCTGATGACAGGATAATCAAACGGGGGTCTGCATCATCAGCTGGATCATGGACATAAGGGACGCTCTTGCGAGCACGGAGCATTTCCATGTACGCAGGAGGGTAGACATGGGTATGAATATCAACAATTAGAGGTGGCATGATTTATTCTGCTCTTCCGAGTTCTGTAGCGAAGTGAATGTGTGTCAAGAGAAGGGAGATTGGTACTTTGCTTGTGAGGCTGATGAGGTTGCAATGAAGAGGAGGGGAAGTGGAGGAGTCGATGCATATGAAAATGAGGGCGGGGTTACAATGTACATCATCTCCGAGATCACTCTTTTCACAAGAATGGTAAGCATGTTGAATTCTGTTATCAGGGCCTGATCGATCTTCAAATCAATGATTGTTGTTATCTTTCTCTGTCCTCCTATGTAGATCCAAGTCGAGAAGATAAGATTAGATACCAAACTATGTACATCATAATATTAGGTTGATTTACTATCTTCCCCGCTCTTTGGATGCAGTATCATTCACGCAGGTCACGGGGGAGGTTCTTCCACTTCTTCAAGGATCGCCTCTTAATTTCCCCCTTCATCTCTCTCTCATTGTCCCGCCTCTGGTCCCGTGGAGTAGAAGTGACTTCACCAAGTCATTCCACTCTTCACCTTGCGCCACCACTCCAGTTAACATTCAACCTCTCCCTTGCCATAAATTCCCATTCCCATTATTCCCTTGCATCAATCTCTATACTTCTATAACATACCCGCTCTGTGTGCTTGAGAACTAGCCTTCAGAATGGAGGGCAATCTGCCACAGCAGTCATGTCATCCAGCAACCACCGCCGTTGACAAAGATGATATTATCATTCCAGTGAGTACGATGGCTAAAGCTCAATGCAGTGCTCTCACCATATCATTCAACTTGATGATCAACTCATCTTTCTATATAGCGTGAGCGTTTGACTTATGGTTTTAGGTCATTGACTTCGGTCCGTTTCTCAACGGAACGCCCGCTGATAAGCATGCCGTCGCCGTCTCCGTCGTAGAAGCATTCAAAACATCCGGTTTCCTCTATCTCAAGGAGCACGGTCTTCCTCCTTCCGTCGTCTCCCGGGTGTTTGGCTCATCTGCACGGTTCTTTGCGCGACCCCAGGACCAGAAAGACAGTCTGTGCTGGACTACCCCACAGGCGAACCGTGGTTACGTGAAGACGGGACAAGAGAAGCTGAGCAACGTGGACGACCCAACGGCACCTGAAGTTCTCCGAGCTACCCCAGATCTCAAGGAAACCATGGAGATTGGTCGCGATAATCTGGACGATCAACCCAATCGCTGGCCGGACCAGATTGACGACGAAGGAAAGGATTTCAGAGAAGTCATGACATCATTCTTCAGCATGTGCAAATCCCTCCACACGGAAGTGATGCGAGCCATCGCACTTGGGATGAACTTACCGGAGCATTACTTTGACTCCTACGTAGATGCAGGAGACAATAATCTTCGATTGCTGCATTATCCAGCTGTGTCAAAGGAAGTCTTCAGAAAGAACCCGTCGCAGGTACGTGCGGGTGAGCACAGCGACTATGGCTCCATCACGCTTCTCTTCCAAGATCGTCGCGGTGGGCTCCAAGTGCACAGTCCCAAAGATACTTATGTCGATGTGACCCCCATCGCAGATACAGTGGTCGTCAATGCGGGTGACCTGTTGGCTCGATGGTCGAATGATCTGATCAAGAGCACCCGTCATCGCGTCGTTGAGCCACCCAACCCCATTGGCGAGGAGGACAACTCCGACATGTACCCAGACCGCTACAGCATTGCATATTTCTGCAATCCCAATAACAACAAGCTCATTGAAGCTATCCCTGGGACCTATGGGAATGATATCAAGGAAGCAAAGTACCCAGGAATCGTTGCCGGGGATTACCTGGTCCAGCGGCTCACAGCTACCTACTGAATTTTCGACGAACTGGACGGTTATAATCCGCTCCAGTATTGACTTATCCAAGCTGCAACCCTATTCTCTGCCTCTTCTCCCCAGCTTCTGCTATGCATTGTAACGTAGTCTCTGTTCATGACGATCAAAAGGTTAATGCATGTATCTCCAACCTAACATTTACATATTGATATGGAATGGAACCGTAAAAAAGACAAGGGTGTTCTCCTTAATACGTTGCCACCGCTGTATTCAGCCTTCCACCGTCAGTAACGGTGATATTCCCGTTCAAATAACCACCCGCAGCACTCGCCATATAAAGAATCAGCCCCGCGATATCCTCCTCACCACCAGCCCTCGTAAGAGGAATGACCTCCCTCTTAAACGACCCATCTGAGATCCCCTTATCACCTTCCTCAAAAACCCGCGTCGACATCTCGGATAGGTAAATTCCCGGCGCGATGCCATTCACTCGAATATCATACGATGCCAACGTTGTCGAAAGCATTTTCACCAAATGATTCGCCGCCGCCTTGGAAAGATTATACGCCGCACTCACCGGCACCTCCCGATTAAATCCCGCAATAGAAGTAGTAATAATAACTTGCGCAGTAGGCGCAGCAATCTGATTCTTCACAGGTGCCGGCCGCCGCTTATTCGCCGCTTCCAGCAGCGGGAGGAAAGCCAATGCCGTATAATAAGCACCGGTCACGTTGACATCCAGGACCTTATTGAAGTCGTCCATGGGGACGGACCAGAGGGCATCGCGGACCTCAGCGAGACTAGGGAGGGATCCGTCTGGCTTAGGAGGCGGGGGACTCGCATTTGGGCCGATAATGCCGCTGTTAGCGATGAGGAGATCAACGTGATCTGTCTGTGCCGAGATAGTCTGGTAGGCTGCTTCGAGGGATGCTTTTGAGGAGACATCCGCTTGGATGGGGATTATGGCGCTGCTGTTGCTGTTCGGGCTTTGCGTGATGGTTTCTTGCAGGGCTTCTTGCCGGCGGCCAATTATGAAAATCTTGGATGCGCCGTTTGCGTCGAGCGTGTGGGCCATCATACGGCCTAGGCCTGTGATGTTGCTGTTAGCTGGTACTTTGTGATGGGGGCTTCGTTGCTTTTCTTTGCTTTTTCCTTGCTCGTCTTGGCTTAATGCGGCCTGTTTCTTAACTTATGCGGTGATATGGCGGACTTGTCACTTGCGTATTGGTTGTAGAAGAGGAAAATACGAGGGCAAACAATGATCTCTGCTTGTACTTACCACTTCCCCCTCCCGTCAGGACTACGACCAGTCCTTTGACGGAGAATAGACTCGAGGGTTGAAGGTGAGACATGTTTGGATGAAGATGCGAAGTTCGTGAATGTCCGTCCTAGTTGACAAGGGGTCAAGTGAGGTAGCGTGTCAGCAGGGCTCCCTTCTTACAGAAATATGCCAATGGTATACAGGGGAGAAACAAGTAACTAAAAGAATGAGTTGAGTTGATTGATAAGCCGCTACTCGTTATTTTCCCCACTCGGGGTTGGACCGAGTTGCCTGCGGGGTAATTCTCAAGACCTATGTCCCCCAATGTTTGCTTTCAAGTCTTCTATTTACAACTAGTAGTAGAGTCCTGGGAACATAGTGCGGCTCCTTCTCGTTGTAGAATACAATTGATCCATATCTCTTGGGAGGGGCAAGACTGGTTACTTCAGGGCTCATTTTCAACAATGGACTCGCATCACAGGCAATCTATGTATCATACATCCTATCTTGTGAGATCTACCATAATTCCACGCCGATAACTCAATTGTATCTTACATTAGTCTCTCCTGGATGATACTATGCTTGGTTAAACCGCGGGTGTTGACAGTTGGTCCAGCCTTGTACTAAAGTGTATCCAACCACTCCCTCAAGGCAACAGGTAGCCAAAGCTTCCAGCTATAGAGAGTTTGCATTTGGCCTTCACCATCGTAATGCTCTCTGTAAGCTGGCGATAATCTGTTTGAACTTAGGGCTTATGTGTCACGAGACAGCGGCAGTCCAACTCCGGGTCTGTGGAACATAGAAGCTCTGGAAACGCATAACTCGGAGTCCAAAGAAACACCCCACGACTTTCTAGAAGGTATCTTCGGCGAGAACTCCGGTCCTCGGTATTCGGCTCATCGGGTTCTGATTCTAATGGATACGACCTTCTAGGTATAGGTGAGTTTTGCTTCACGTCATCGTTTCGGCCCAGCCGTTACTTCCGTCATTGCGCCTCGACTGAACACAAGCAGGCTCTCAGCTTCCAATCCTCATCGGTCCCACTCCTTCCCGTTGTATGCATTTCAATTCTGCAAGCTATGCAACTATATATGCCCTTGTATTCTGAGCCTGGCAGTAGCCGATATACACCTCGTCGAGCCAGCTCAGTAGCTCCAACCTTGTCTGGTGCCCTGAATTGTCAGAGCTCACATTATAACAATACCATTTCAATCACCACTGACTTACCTACTATGTATATGCAATGCGATCCTTGCCAGCACCGTGAGCGAGAAGATCCGCTTTTTCATGTCCACTTTTAGACGCTGTGTGGCGTGATCGGTTTTAAAACGGCCGGTATTTCTGTTTCAACGGCCTACCGAAGTCAACTGGAAGGAGCTAAATCATCAAGGAGCAGGCTTCTCTCCAACAATTGAAGCGATGATCAATTCCAAAGTACTTCTACCCGCTCTAGGCACCCGTTTGCTGCCAACTGAATGATTGTGACATGGGCATGCCGCATGTATTACGCATGCAATATCTACAAGGCGTGGATGACGGTATCATCACGGTCAAATTCAGAATTCTAGACAGGCAACAGAGACGATAGACGAAATGATAGAGGAATTGCGTCACGCATGGTCCAGCAACTGATGGAATGAACACGGAAACTTTATAGATTGCTGGTGCCCACAACCAACGCTCGTAACCTCAACCAGCTGTTTCTTGAGTTGGTAAATATATATCCTTGTGAATTTGAGGTGATTTGAACGCGTTGGCAGTTGGAAATGTCTTGGAATCGGTTTCTCGCGCTTAGTTACCTAAGCTCTGTGCCAGTGATACTGGCAGTTCCCCAGGCAAAAGTTGCTCGATCTACAACTGTTGCACCTGCGGTTAGTCACCCAACCTCACTAACCCACACTCCATTCAGTGGCACCCCAACCCCCACCGGGGCTTTGCATGCTTCTTCAATTGATACTGGGGTTCCCAGCTTGGGGATCTCGCCCACAGCGACAACTTACCCTAGCGATGGGCAACTCCACGACCCTCAGCCAGGTCCGTATATCCCAGCTGGGGGTGTGGGAACTAGTGGAGAAACGCCGGTTTACAACGCGAAGAGCGACTTCGACTATGAATCGTTGGTATGCTGATAGATGTTTTATAGGCCAAAGGGCTTATACTGACTATCATACTATGCCCTTTCTCTTTATCAAGAATATACCGAACTTGATCTGTTCCACGATGGCTTGGTCCGCTTTTCGGTACTGGAATTCACAGCTGCTGGGCTCACAGCTGAGGGTCGTTTTTTTGATCGAGTTCATGGCGGATCAGGAGGTTGGACATGCAACAATGGTTACCAACATACTGGGAGCTGAGGCCCCTAGAATGTGCACCTATAACTATCCGTATACTACAGTACATGAGTTTGTGGACTTCTGTCCGAAGTTCACTCGCTTTGGGGAGTCTGGTGTTTATGGTTTCCAACCTCATCTCAATTCGCGCGAGGCAGCAATACTTCTTCTCCAGTCGATTACCACAGAAGCTAGACAGCAAATGATTTTCCGTCAATTCGAAGGACTTTTCCCGATGCCGGTCTGGTTTGAGGTTGGTGTACCCCAGTCTTGGGCTTGGACATTACTGGCACCATACATCAGCTCGTGCCCCGAGAATCAGACCAGGTTGGCCTGGCAGAACTTCCCTGCCTTATACATCAAAAACCAGCCGAATCCGGCGAGAATCAACGGATCAGCTGCCTTGAATGAGACCGTAGGAGAAGGTGTGAATTCATTGAATAGTACCGCTGTCCCTAGCGACGCCTCATGTGTTAACTCCACTGCCCTGGGCACTAGCTGCTACCCTGCAATTACGCATAACCGCACGCTGCCCCTGTCATGGCCAGGTCGAGAGGTATTTATTCACTGGGATGAGCCAGGTCGACCAGCCGGACCTAACAACAGCTACATCACCTCAACGAGCGCAGGAGATCCCAAGTCCGTAGTGTGGGCAACGCAGTTGAATGTGACGTATTCTCCCCTAGAAATGACTGGCGACAACTGTGGATCGACAATTAAACCTGGCATTCAAACTTATGCCGGTGATCCTGCAATCAATGGCACCATGTTCGTTGCGATCACAGACTCAGACCCCTATTTGAGTCCGTTCAACCTCTCAATGATCAATCCCCACGTGGTTGCTGGCCCAGCCCTCTATCAATCTGGCTGATAACATCTTCATCCTGAGCACTGTATAAGCTGATAAACTAAGGTATATTAAGAATAGTTGGGCGTTTCATCTTCTGGTTGTTGTTCCATTTTTGAAGCCAGGAGGAAGCTTGTTGACGGGCGCATTCCTTTTGATTGACGCGAACTCGCCGAGATAAGGTGTATGAAATAATGCTGGAAAAACTGATTGATGCTCATATATTACAAGAATTGTCTTCTTTAACTGGCCATGCTCAGAGAGAATCCTGAGCTGAAGGAGTGTGTATAGACTTGCATGATATGACATGTCCATAAATAGCAACGTTAACTCCGCTAATGTCCGGCGGCGATCGTAAACATTTCTCCCGACTTGACAGGTGAGCTTTTTCCGTCGACAACCGTTTAAACACCTATAGCCCAACAAACGCCGAATTACTCATACACTTAATTTCTCTACACTGCCCGCCATGATGGAAGCACCCAGGAATCGAAAGCAACGACGAGCAGCCGCTGCTGCCTCCAAGAGCGACTCCGACTCTACTACCTTCGATCCGTCCTCCATCCCGATGGCCCATCCGCCCCGAAACACCACCAAGAACCCGAAAGAAAAGACACTAGTGGAATTGATAGCTGAGCGGGAGAACGAACTGCTAGGCCTGGGTCATGACAGGAGTTCGACTGGAATGGACGGTTCGACTCCTGGGACCCGATTCGTGAGCATCGACCCGACGTCCGGCGAGATTTCCAACTTGGATGCATCCGAACTCCCAACCGAACAACAAGGGTCAAAAGAGTCTATCACGAGATCACCATCTGACGCAAATTCAGGGTCTGGGGAAGACGAGGACGCGCCAATCCCACCGTTCATCGACACGATGCTGCTCTCCGTGCCCCTGACGACGTTACACATGACGTTAGCCTATCTTGCGGCTCATCAGTACGCAGAATACATCGTTTTGGACAAACTCATCCGCGAATCTGTATTTGTTGCCTTCCCGATCTTGACATTTGCCATTCACCTGGCACATGGGCATATCATGTCCTTCGGTAATGCCCAGAGCTCAGAACACGTCTCGCTCATCCCTTTCCACCGAGACAAGTTATCGATCGCGTTTCTTCGAAGACTGCTCTTCCCGCCGTCATTGCGGACTATGGTCTTCCTTCCGCTTGCTATCTGCCTTGGGGCTAAGCTGATGGCTATGACTAACGATGAGCCATACTACGCTGTCATGAAGCGAGCACCTTCTATTGGGACGCTGTGGGTGTGGAGCATCTTGGAGATCCCAGTAGGCGCGGCTGTATTGGGGGCATTAGGACCAATGATTTGGGGTGTGTGGTGGAAGGGTTACGGCATTCTCTGAGCGGAGACGCGGCAGCAGTTACCGGGGAGTCCGAATATCTGGCCAGGGATGTCTTGCCCGACATGTGGTTACGCTGCTTCAGTTGGCTTTCACATTATTCCATCTCCAACTGCCTCTGTAGGTCAGGCGCCACATGTGCCGCAGCCGTATAACGGGAGCGTTCGGGATTAGCGAAACTCGTTTGGGCTCCAGCCCAATAACAACGTCACCATACAGGGTAGATGGTCTAGAGTACTAGGTTCGAAGACGCAACAACGTTGTATGCATGAAATTTCGAGGGGTTTCGGTCGGGTTCGGTGTGGGACTGCAGTGGCACTGCATACATCACAACGGACATCTGGCAGACAACAGTGGGCCAGCTGTGCATACACAATAGTAGCGGGCATCTTGGGTTGGGAATAGTGTGACCCAAGCCTCTAGGCAGAGCAATGGTTTTACATACTACAGAATACAGGAGAGAAATTCCCTGCAAGGATCCCAGCACAGCATGTGAATATGTCTTATTGGGCTGTGGAGGGCAACAGAGAGAGGCTGCGACTCTCCGGTCCCACCATAACAGCAGGCTATCAAAATTCTCGATTTCCGGTTTTTGGCCGAAACGGCTGAATTACATCCAATATAATCCATCTAGGAAATTTACAGGCGAGCGAATGGCATCCTGGCGGGAATTAGCTGGCTCGGGGTCGACGTGGCGACAGCCTAGTCGGGGACTAGGTTGATTGTTCCTGGTCGACTGAGCCTTGCCACGCTTGGAGCCCCAAGATTGGATGGAATACGCCGGGACAAACTAGACCGGGATTGAAACCCGATAGCTGGATCCCTGTGCACAAGCGATGGTGCCTTGAATCCAAGCGAACGTGGTGGTGTCTGCAGCTAGAGGAGACTATGTCACATGACGATATGCAACCCCAGTTACTCGACGTCCGTTCTCGGATAGAGCCATATCCATGGTCTTTCCACTCACTGGTCTCATTGGCGACAGACAGTGACTAGTTGCTATCGTCACGACCGCCGCAACTCCTCCGAGGGGTTGTCTCTCTCTCAGTGATCGACAAGGAGGGGGGAAATGGAGGCACGAAAGCGGCGCAGTATCACCGTCACCTAGCGCGCCAGGCGTACAGTCACCGGGGGGTTGGGAAGTAGCACGAGCAACTCCACCCTCCATTACCTCTTCGAGAGTCTCATCGATAGTCCGAATTGGAATCTTAGAGAAGCGGGGCTAGAGTGGAGGAGGGGTTTCAAGCGCTTTGAGGGCTGATAATAGACGGACCGAGGAGAAAAGCTTCAGACCATGATCTGAGCGCGTGGACCAACCGGGTAGAAGCACGGATGGGACGGGCAGCCGTACGATCCGGCAAAGCAGATCCAATACTAGGCCGACTGATGACAGCTGATGGCGTGTAACCTTCCAAAAGCGGGAAAGAAGATAGACAATGAGATTGTCGAGTTCTGAATCTAATGGGCTCATCACCCGCCGGGAACCCTTGTTGGGGCGATTTGACAGGCGCACTGTCCGATATAGTTCAATCAAACTACTGAATGCTAAATCGATTAAGTCAATCTATTTTTTTTTGCGAACCGACACATCAATCCGATCAGCTCAGCCCGGCTGAGAGAAGTTCAAAAAAAGCAAAGAGAAACATGTGGCGGTGCGATACCTGCGCCACACTCGTGTACATAGTATGTATAGTATAATACGAACTAAGTAACGAACTACATGTACATGTTCCATCCAACAAAGTCAACAAAGTACGGTCGTTCGAACAACAAAAAGACTCAACTTTGAGAACAGTATTAAACTTCTAAAGCGATCCTCCTCTTGCCTCTTGCAGTAATCGATGCCCTCGAACTAGGGAATCGTGCATGACGGGTCTCTTGCCCACCGCCACTCAAGGTTGACAACCTATAGGCAGGTAACTTGTACCGATGGGTACTTGCTTCAGCTCCACAGGAGGCTATAGTTTGTTTGGGTTGGCGGATCCCGTCAGTGATCCATCCCACAGACCGTCCTTCTCCGATTTCTTTTGATTTTCTTTTTTCCTTCTTTTAATTAAAAGATTCTATTTGACTTTTGGACTCTGAAACTCAGTTTCACAATATGGAATAGCAAAGTAAATAATAAATTAATCGCTCACTAATCACTACACCAAAAGCAAAACCAAGCTAAAACTAATACTCAAACAAAAAAAAACAAACAAACCCCAAATCAATTAATAATCAAACATAGAAAAAAAAATTAGTTTAGTTACAAATGAAATCAAAAGAGAAAGTAAAAAAAGCAAGAAAGTAATTTAAAAACAGAAAGAAAAAAAATTATTAATAATCATTAATAATAATTTTTAAAAAAAAAAAAAGAATCCACACACGGGAACGCGAACCAAGAAGCAACTAAGCCAGGGAGGAACGGATAGTCTAGATGCAAGAGAAAGTTCGCCCAACAACCCACAGACAAGGTTCATGGCAAGCGCTTGGGCCCGACGTCATTTATCCATTCCAAGTTTCGCTCTCACTAGGTTGGAGTCGTAGTGTAGTTACTGTACGGAGGTAGTAGTCGACTAGTAGTATGCCATGAACACCGAGTCACCGACCCTAGGTAATTAATTTGTAGACCTAAACGTGATTATTGAGTTTCGTTCTTATTCCCTTATGGGAATGGTATCTGTCATTGTGAACGTGGGTGTTTTATTTTTCTTGGTCTTGATTGTATGGGCTCCGTACATAGATTCTTAGGTAGTATAGTAGTCAGCGTCCAAAGGTACACCTTACCCGAGTGAGTTGAAGTGCTGTCCAATGGCCAGCCACTGCTTATCATGATTCATGAAATAAATAAATATATATATATATATATA